CTGTTTGTAAGTGAATCCCATCATTTCTCAAACTGTAGGGAATCGGATAAAGCGTCTATGTTCCGTTTCTCGCCTAGGAGAACCGCTACAGAACACAGCTATGAACGGTATCGCGAGTGTCTCGATTGTGTTTATAGCTTTTTTGACAACTTGTAAAGGTATGATAATCATACTTGTATATTTGTTAAATATTTTCGCTGTATATACTGTCATTTCGGGCAAATGTGTGTATGTCATTAATTTTTTAGCTAAAATACATTAGTCCAAAGCTGCTGTAGCAAATACCAGTATTTTCCTAGTAAGTGCTTGGTCTCTCAATACTCGATTATTTTAGACTTTCGATATCTGACGAGAATGGGAATTAACATATTTGCAAATTTTCATAAAAAGTCAGACTGTACTGCATAAACAATTGTGCGTAAATCGTTATCCAGTATATATATATTTTTACTTATGTGTGTTATACTGATAAAAATTTTTGGGCGAATAACTTCTTTCTACCTGTATATTAATATTTATTACTAGTAAAAAATTTTGGCGAGGAGCTCTACGCGAGGACAACCACTCTGTATAATAATAAATATATTTATTATTTTACAGAATGATTGATCTCGCGTAGGGTTCCTCGCCCAAAATGTTTTACTAGTATATAGTTGTTAATATATAGGGTGATTGTCTTCGCGAAGAGTTTCTCGCCCAAATTTTTTTATAGTATATATTTATTATTTTACAGAATGATTGATCTCGCGTAGAATTCCTCACCCGAATTTTTTTTCTAGTATATATGTGTTGTTTTTATATATAATGATTTTACTGAGTAAAGTTAACATTGTTCGCACAAAATTATTTATACAGTGACTGTCTCACTTTTTCGCAAAACATACCGCTGAGATACATTTGATCCTTTCGGTCTTCGAACAGACAAAGCCAAAATGACGTTGTGAACCGGCAGTGCCCAATAGCTAAATATTTTCAGCCCGCACAAAAACTAACAGCAAACGGTTTCGTTTGCTCAGAAGAACCGCCAGTTTTACCCTTTGCTATCTTCACCCATGAAAAGAAGCTTGTAAGCTTTCTAATAGAGATGATATTAAAAGAAACTGAGGGTTTCTGCCAATTTGTGTAAAAGCATGCATGCCTTGCGAAAATGGGTACAGGCTGAAGTAGGTTTCATCTACTTAGAATTGGATAACCAAATCAAATCGAAGTGTTTCACAGTTTGTTTTCGTTGCAAATATTAGGAAGAAACTAAAAAATGGCCGAAAGTGAAACATTTTTCATATTTTACCAAGTTGGCATAGATTGCTGAGTGCCCACATATTTGCCAGCATTTTTTGGACGGGCGCGTCGCCAAAGACGTAACTTCCTCTCTACTTTCAAGGTCTGCCGTATTGCGAATGCCCTCGCCCACGACAACCTCATCCGTAGAATCAAATTATTTCTCACTGACGGAAAGAAAATACGTAGTGTTGTTAATAGTAATCCATTTTCAGAATTTCCATTTGCCCCTGGAATTTTCCAGTGGGACGAACCAAACAAACGTTTACCATTTATTTCCCAACCGAAATTTCCGGGAATTTGTGGTAAATGGTAAACAACCGATAATAATATTGATGACAATAATGTTGCATTTCAACCTCGTTCCCAAGCTCCTCTCTGGCTACTCGTCCTCACCGAGGCAGAGACTACTAGGAAGGACCGTGGGAAAGACGTTGATTGAATTTCTGTACACTACTCATACATCTCTCCGTATCCATATGTTTCCCTATGGTTAAACTTATCATTTACCCCTTGACTGAACGTTTCAACGGTCGTTCCACCGTACGCTAATTCGTTTTCGTTCCCCAAGGGGAGGAGGGTTTTGAAGGGTTTCAAAAGCGTTCTCGATTGTAGGATTTCAATTCTGTCAATTTACTTATCATTCTCAATAGCTCTTTAAGACAAGATATTTCTAAATTAATTCAAACAAGTTAGATAAGAGGAGAAAAAAGAGAACGACCCTAGTAATAATAATATATGAACAAGTATCAAGACGACCCACGTAAGCTGAGCCAGTCGACTCTACCGTCGGGCAAAATTTATTGTGTCCAAGGTTCAAAAAAAGTAATAGATTAGAAAAGTAAAAATTATAACTCAGTATCGTGGGTGGGTTCTATATAGTTTTAATGAATAAATAGATAGAGAGTTAAGTTGCGAAATGTCCTTATTCAGGATGTTGCAAGTTATGAATGCAGATATGTAGAGTGTTTAAAAAGAAACTGTGCTGCGTGGTCATAGCCTGCGAGTAGCAGGCTCACCGGTGCAATTTTGGGGAAAATTTTGGCTGCGGAACCGCCGGCGCGAGCTGACGAAGCCGGCAATAAGAATGCAGAATAGGCCGAGCCATTCTTCTCGACGGCTAACGCTTGCGGATCGGTCGCTAAAATTTTCTCCGAAAGCCCCCAAGTAAGCTGCCTGCGCGCAGGCACCGGCTACGTTGTTAGGGAAATAAAACACAAAAATGTGGCTTAGCGAGAGCTAGAGACGTTAGCCATAGAACCTTTTCACGGTATTATTAACTTATAAAGCCAAGTGTTTACTGGATAAATGACTTACAGGACTGATTTTCATTGCAGTTACAGGTAAAATGTCCTTTGAAAATCAGTGTATCTATTGGCACAACTATTTCCGCACACTCCATCAGGTAAATTGCTTTGTAATTTCTAGCACAGGTTGTGGAATTAGAGTAGAATTACTCTGAAAATTCAGAGAATAGGTTTGAAATTTTTAAAATTTAACGGATGTTTTGTATATTGGGTTTGGAAAAAGGGAATTCCTAGGTGTCAATTTTGGAATCATGGGTTGAAGGGGTGGTTAATGTCATAATTCAGTCCATCTTCTTATGTCATTTATATTGATCTATCTTCCTTTTCCTTTTCTCTACTTAATTTCTTCCCAGTTATAAATTACTTTTATTTTCCTCTGCCCACCTCAATTAGCCAAGCTATTTGCGAGCAGAGGATGTTTGTGTTACATTTATGTTTTGATTTAATTTACCTAATTTGATTTGTAACTTTTGAAGATCAGTAGACTTCAACCTTTAATTTACTTAACTTAATTTGTAACTTTAATTTGTAACTTATGAAGATCGATAAACTTCAACTTCAACTATAATAATAATAATGATAATAATAATAATAATAATAATAATAATAATAATAATAATGACTGTTTAAGACTCATTGCAGCAATATACATAATGGCTGAATTACAGAGCTATTTACAAAACATATAATACTAAAATATAATACAATAAATCCGATAAATACTTGAAAATATAATTGTACAAGCCACGAGGTATACTTATGCGTGACAAACTCTTGCGTGCGCTTGGTCCTACAGGTAGGACGCGTGGAGCAGCTAATGCCAGATCTAAGATTAAAATTAAAATTCTTCAACTTCATTGGTTCTAATTGTGAGGGAGATAATCTTATGATTTTGCGTTCTAGGGGTGAGCCTACACCCCAACCGAAAAAAAGGCGACACTGTCCAACCTCCATGTGCGACCAACTCTCAATCTTGACCACCTCCAATAAACGACTATCTGCCCAAAACACGCAAATGTTCCTAGTTAAATAATTACAGTAGGAGACCTCTCTTAAATTAACGACCCTCCGACTACGCAACTCCTACTTGAGCGAAACAGCTCTCTAAAGCAACATTATATGTATTTATCATGGGTTAAGTAACCTTTTCTTTGGGGTGTTACATGGTATGCTGTTCTGTTGCTTCATTAGCGGTAGGCTATATATATTTGAGTTGTTCTCATTTATATTCATTCGCGTCTTACGACCGTCCCTACGCCCTCAAAATTAAATACCCAGTGATCAGGGGTTTCTCTTAGACGTAGTTTTTTGCATGCTGCTATATGAAAAGTTTAGCACGTTTTGTATGTTTACTGAATGATTGTTATACGAGCATAGTTTAGATCATTTTGCTGGGTTGTTTTTCTTGCTGTAATTTTTTACATTTCCGAGTTTTCATTCTGTTTGTTGTATTATTTCCATCCATTCTGTTGATGAAGGCATAATAAAGAGGGTCGCACACGGCTCGTGTTGACACACCCCAATTGAGGTTGCTTGTTACATGATAAATGTTTTATATTCGTTTGAGCGGGGTAGCGAATTAGAATATAAATGACCTTCATTTGGAAAATAAAACACTCAAACTTAGGAGGTATAGTTTGTCTATTTTCTATTTTAAAGGGTTCAATTCGCGGTTTTTTTTCTTCAGGTCCCCAATGTCACGTGGTCGAAAAGTCTTCAGAAAGAAGCGGAGGACTGGGTCAAATATCTAGCAGAAAACAACAAGTTTGAACATAGCAATAAGAATCCTGGGAATTTATACCTGTCCCATCCTAATGAATATCCAGAGGAGTATTGCAGTGATGCTATACAGTGGTTCCATTCGGAGGAAAAGTTTTATAATTACGACAAACCCGGTTATAGTCAAGCAGCAGGACATTTTACTACGGTATGAACAATATATTTCGTGCTGGAATAAACATTGAATGAAATAGTTTGATGAATAAATGATGTTATTATTCTTTCAAAAATTTTCCCTTTTCTGACTGTTTCAAATCTGTGGTGAATTATGGGATCAGACTCGGCGCATGATTTAAAGCTTGTTCAGCTCATGGGGATACTGTAGCATTCTGGGCAAATTGACAACACATTCAGCAGCCACATACGTAACGCCCATCACTTCAGTGATAATAGAGGCAGAATAGTGCGGTGTGGCTTGCTGTTGTGGGATTACTCTAGTGCTGCTCGTACTTCTAGTCTGCTACACAGCCGTTTTTATTGTCGTCACGCAGGGCTCCTCCCCACAAGAGGAAGCGTTGCGTGACGACTCTGAAAACGGCTGTGTAGCAGACTACTTGTGCTTCCTGATGCCTGGGTTAAAATTTAAAATAAAACTTCGTCACTTTCAGCATTCTTTGGTTTGTTTGTTTTTTATTTTCAGGTGGTTTGGAGAAATTCCAAAGAAATTGGGGCAGCGTGGGCCATTCGCAAAGACAGAAGACTTGTTGTTTCTATCAAATACAACCCAGGAGGCAACTATGTCGGTTACTTCCGTAAAAACGTTTTGCCGCCCATTGCTCGTACTCTAGGTTCTAAATGGCCTTACACTCCACCCAAGTTTACATGGTGCCCAGTACGACCAACCACGGATCCTACGGAGCCTGCAGCTGGAAAAGGGATGATCTGTAGTCTTTACTTGGTTATTGGGTCTTTAATCTTTGCTGGTTTAATGTTATGAACTGATTTGATCATGATTTAAAAATTAAAACTAAACGAAAGCGTTGTTATCCCGACCTACACACAAATTCTCGAGACTGATCTCCATACATTTCCTAAAGAATGAGTTGGGAGAATTTGATAAAAGGTCAAAGTATTATTCCTCAGGTGGCCTCTCTCTTTTTTCTTGATTATGTATTGATAAAATTATTATTTTCACATGACGTCACTAAAATTCAAACTAAAAAACTATCGATCCTACCGACATTTTACTTTCACGATGCATTAGAGCCGCTGAAAACTAATTTTCATACAAATTTCGCTTCAAAAGGGTTCTTGGTTTTGTGATAGATTACGCTTGATTTTCTCGCGGCATTTACATGACGGCCAAGAGAGCTCTCATGTAGGTTAGAAAAATGACTTATTATTCTTCCAGTCTAATTCGTTTTCTTTCAGCTAAGTGAATGATGAGTTCTTGAAAGGTGTTTCTAATTTTCTAGTCGGTGGACCACATCCTATGGCCCGTGTGGCTCTGAAATGAGCGTTGAACGGAAGTGGCCATAACTCGATCGCCGGCTTGACTAATAATCCGTTGCGAGTAGCCACGGCGTCTGGGAAAAAAACATTTCTTGGCTGTTATCTTTAAAATTTGTCTCGTTACTGCAGATGCGCCGTAAGCGGAAAAACTGACTGTAGGGGTAGTTTCCTAACGACGAGTGGGGTGCAAGGAGGCATAATTAAGGTAAGAATGAGTGTCAGTTGCATTGTAATGTATCCTTGTAACGAGACGATCAGTTGTTGGCTTCAAAACGAGGTCGTGAAAAGGTAGCTGCTCATCAGAGATGGAACAAGTAAACTTTAGACTGGGATGAAAACCATCCTCAAAGGTAACAAAATCTTCGATCTCTTGTCTACTACCAGCGAAGGCTCAGGCAATGTCGTCGATATTCCGCTTGTACAGATCGGGTGTTCACCTTGTCTACTGATCAAAGATTTGTTCCTCGATGTGACGACCATAAGCAGGCACACATAGCTGGGCCTAAGTCGACTCCCCATAGCGACTCCTCCGATTTGGCTGTAATAGCGGAGCACCGTGGTAAGAAAACTTGGTTATCTGTGCATCCAAGAAATTTTGGTCCCGAGAAAATCGTCCGTACGCGTCCGTACTTACGCCCACCTCTTCATGTAAGCCTGGGTGAAATTTTGCATTTCAAGTACCCGCGCGTTTCGGCTGTAAATCGCATAGCCACCCGGAATTTTAGAGATTAAAAAAAAAAAAAACAACAACAACGCCGATTCTTTCTTTCGACTTAATTTTAATGTCTACATTGACGTGGATAACAGAGAAAGAGGTAGAGATAAAAAAAACAAAGGAGACCAATTTCTTTGGAAGAATAACTTGAAAATGTTATATCGGGGGTGAGAAAAGGAGATGTGCTACCTGCCTCCAAAGTGAAAATGGGTGGCCACGAAAAAAAAAGTGAACAGGAGCAAAATTTTCTTCATAAAACGTGTAACTAGGAAGTTTCTGGAAGTTTCACGTTGTAGTCGTGCAAAACAACGGTAAAGAAATGTACAACAAAAGTGTGCTGCACGTGCAAAGTTTTTTTTTTTGCTAATTAGACCCATGTACTGATTTTTTTTTGGCTCTTTTTCTTGCCGTTGCTACTTAGTATTACCCTTTTTTATATTTTGTTCCATTCAACTATACTGTGAGATAATAACGAGAGCTTCGCTTTTAGCCCTGGCTAGATCTATGTCTTACTTTCAATTGAAAGAGAAAGTAATCAATGTAATAGACCATTTTACAGTTGTGGGCTTAGGGCCTGTTTACATGGAGTGGGGGACCCCGGTCTAGTGGGGTTGGTTTCTTTTGTTTTGACACTCTGGGGGACACAAAACAAAAGAAACTTACCCCACTAGACCGGGGTCCCCCACTCCATGTAAACAGGGTCTTAGTACCCTTGCCTTCGAGTGAATGCGAGGCTGGGGGTGACCTTGTTTTGATGCAAACTTCCTTTGCTTTGTTATGGAAATTGTCCTTGAAAAACACTAGTTAGCATAAGAATAACTTGAATTACATAATAAAGCACAAAGGTTTGTATCAAAACAAGGTCAACTCCAGCCTCGCTTTTATTCGGAACTGTAAAATGACCTATTAATGTGTAAGAGCCAAGAGTCGGTCAGCGGTCAGCGATGATGATGGCCGAGTTTTTTGAAGCTGGATAGTTTGCGTTATTTGTTGCTTTTTTGTGTCTTTAAATTCTTTAGATTTTTTTCGTGTAAGAGTTCCTGAGTAAGAGTTCCCGTTGTCTTTTATTTGAATATGTCAAAGAAAGTATTGACTTGGGTGCGTGTGGGTGTGCGTGCGTGTTTGTGTTTTAATGAATAACAAAGCTACAAAAGAATAATGTCAATCTTGTTAAAGGGCCATGATTAGTTTCACTATAATGTGCCCTTCTCCATTCTAATTTTCTTCTTTTATTATTATTATCATTATGTACACGTAGTTTAAGCAACTTTGTACCAATTGATATTGTACAACTAATGTATTATTGATCAGATTGATATTGTACAACTAATGTATTATAGGATGGAGTAAAAGTAAAATACAAATACAAATACAAGAGCCAAGAGGTCACCTCTGTTAGAGATGGTAGTGTACAGGGATTTGATATTCATGGTGAAAACATAATTATGCTCCTCAAGGAAACGAACAGATTCGGTGATACGAAGCATGTGTTTTGTATCTTTCACATAGCTGCGTAAATTTTGGACTAGCGGGTTGGTGATCGTGTCTTAGTACGTGGCAATTAGTTCTGTTGGGCAATTACATTCGGAGATGATAGACCTACCAGGATTACAAGACTAGTGGATTTTTGGCAGCCGATAGAATCTTGACGTGCCGGAGGATTATACACAGTGAGATTCATTACTGATTCCGTTAGTTCACCTTTCAAGATGGCCGCCTTACCCTGATAACCATGTTGTTATGTCAGGGGCACCCAACGTCAATTTTCGGAAATTATCTGTTCGGAAGACGATTTGAGATCTAGAATTTTCGGAACATTTGTTGTAAAATATCTTGCTTGCCTGCCTCTCCTAGGATTTTCGAACATCTAAAAAATGGTATAATTGCCCATTTTTAACGGATTTTTACCCTAAAAAGGTCACCTAGAATTTTCGGGAGCCTTTTTTCTGGCAGAAATTTTCGAAAAGATAAGTTTTGATCCCTATAATTTTCGGATCACTAGACTTTCAGCTAGGAAATCCGAACTGGGGAGGGGATATTAATATACCTATATCTACCGACTAAATTACGTTTAACAATGCTATGTTTAAGTGGTTTTGAACTATATTCTCGTTGGGTGCCCCTGTTATGTCTATAGTGTAGTCGCGTTGCTTTAAGTCCAGCTTGCTAACCTCTCTTCGGCACTTGTAGATGTAATAGTCTAAGGTCGAGAAGTTTCCGGTAGGTTGAGTCTTAGGCGTTAAAGATTTCGAAGATTTTAGAGTTTGTTGACGTCACAGTTAAACACACTTGGCGTTAACAAAGGCAACCAAAGCTCAGTATTAGAGTTGGGTGTGATACCTCGATTAATCGCCTCACTCGAATAATCGCCCCCCTTCGCCCCTCTCGCCATCTTCTCTTCCTTTCATCGCCTCTTTGTCAAGTTGAAGTGCAATGTGATCCAGCAAAACTGATCAGTGACGATTCAAGCTCTGAAAATTAATCAAGGAACTAAATTTGAGCCCCGGGATTTGAGCCCATGTTCAGTTCATTTGATGTGATTAGTTTTTTGTTTAATGGAAAAGTAATAAATGATATCTAATACTTAAGGCATAACTTCCGGTGAGCAATATTTGAAATAATAGCCCCCCTCGAATAATCGCCTTCCCTCGAATAATCTCCCCTTTTTGTGCGAAAAAAGAAATAATCGCCCCCGGCTATTATTCTGAGGCGAGGAAATATAGTAATTAACATAAGGATTTAGATGGGAATCAAGCCAATCTTAAAAGGAAACCTCTCGCTTTATAAGCATGGCGCCTTCTTGCTTCATTTGTGATAATTTTTCTGAACCGATGCGATTCAGAAACACAGAAGCGCAAGAAGTTGCCAAGATCGCATCGGATGAAAGATATTTAACAACTCTCCTCAGGTGCTGAGATTGGGCTGCCTTTTTTTAACGTCGTTCTTCTGCCGTTTTAAAAAGTCGTTCAAACCAGTTTTGGTTTCTCACAACAGCTATTTAGTTGGACTGAATTTAATTTGAATTTTGAAGCCAAGACTTGTTACTGTCAAGCTACATTTTAAAAACTGGGCTTAGTAAGACGGAAGCGTTACGTTCGAAACGGGTCTTCAAAGTTTGAAAGTACCCCGGTCACGTAGCGTGACGACTGCATCTTGAATACGGTACAAACAAAAATATGATATCGATCAATGAATATTTAGGAAGCCGGATAATCCTTCAATCTTGACACGTACTTGCCCTAATCGCTTTGTCGACAGAGAGTATGACGTACACAGACGTTGGTTCGCATTTGACGCACCCACAACAATTACGAAATTGGAAATGAAGTTTTCGAGTGCTGCGTAATGTACCGGTCTTGATACTGGTATAAATAATGGATATGAGAAACTGCACAGGCGTTGGTTAAAAATTAATATCATTGAAAGCATATTTAAGGGTCTGACAGACATGGTCGCATGTTTATTTAAAAGAAAGTAAGTGATCGCCTTAAATCTCCTGAATCGCATCGCTCCTCAACTGTATGTTCCATTTCTCGCCTAGGAAAACCACTACAGAACACAGCTATGAACGGCATCGCGAGTATCTCGATTGCGTTTGTTGCTTTTTTGACAACTTGTAAAGGTATGATAATCATACGTATATATTTGTTCAATATATTCGCTATTTATAATTTCAGGCAAATGTTTGTAGGTCATTCAATTTTACCTCTTAAGCTAAAATACATTAGTCCAAAGCCACTGTAGCAATGCCAGTTTTTTCCTAGGAAGCTAATTAAGTGCTTGGTCGGTCAGTACTCAATTATTTTCGATTTTCGATATCTGACGAGGGCAATTTCACTTTTTATAGAGGTATTAGTCACGAGGTCATTGGGATATCTACAAGACTCTTGAACCTTTGAACGACCTGAAATAGTTTTAATTATCAAAAATGTTTGCGCGTTGGAAACGAAGAGAGCTCTTTCAGAGGCTTTTTGCTCTACAAACTGACCTACTCATGGCTCCTGGCAATGGCTAACTAACACATAAAAAACCTTATAACTTAAACATTGGCAGTAACATCTTTCTAAAATGATGCATCTGAGGGTACAGTTGTTTCTTCCGCTCTTCGAACAGACAAAGCCGAAACGACGTTGTGAACAGTGCCCAATAGCTAGTAAATATTTTCAGTCCGCACAAAAAATAACAGCAAAATTATAGATTAAAAGAAAATAAATATGGAGGCTTTCTACCAATTTGTGTAAAAGCATGCATGCCTTGCGAAAATGGGTACGGGGTGAAGTAGGTTTCGTCTACTTAGAAATAATTCAGTTAAATAATTGGATAACCAAATAAAATCGCAGTATTTAACATTTTGTTTTCGTCGCAAATCTTAGGAAACTAGAAAGAAACGAAAAAATGGCCGAAAGTGTAACATTTTTCATATTTTACCAAGTTGGCATAGATGGCTGTTCCTTGTGAATGCCCACATATTTGCCGGCATTTTTTGGACGGGCGCGTCGCCAAAGACGTATAACTTCCTCTATACTTCACGGCACGGTCTGCCTTATTGCGAATGCCCTCGCCCACGAGAACCTCATCCGTAGAATCAAATTATTTCTGATTGATGGAAAGAATATACGAAGTGTTATTAACAATAATAACATTAACAATAGTGAATAATTGTTAATAAGAATACTAACGATAACAATGACGGTAATAATATTGATAACAATAATGTTGCATTTCAACCTCGTTCCCAAGGTCCTCTCAGGCTACTTGTCCTCCCCTAGCGAGAGACTAGTAGGAAGCACCGTGGGAAGGACGATGATTGAATTTCCGTACATTACACATACATTTCCCTGTTTCCATAGGTTTTCCTATAGTTAAACTTATCATTTACCCCTTGACTGAACGTTTCAACGGTCGTTCCACTGTGCGCTAATGCGTTTTCGTTCGGTATCGCGTGCATTTTTATAAGTATTAAATATATATAGGGGTGGTTAGCTCGAAAGCTAAGCTCCTCTGATCACTGTACACTTCTGATCTATCCAAGCCATTAACTTTCTTTTTTCCTTCTTCTTCTTTATTAGTGTCTTCCTACCTTACTATATATAATGTAAATATTTTATAAAAGTGTGAATAAAATTGATCGAATTGAAGTGAATTGAGTTGTAGGATTCAATTGTGTCAATTTACTTGTCATTCTCAATAGCTCTTTGCGAGACAAGATATTTCTAAATTAATTCAAACGAGTTGGATAAGACCAGAAAAAAGAAAACGACCAAGTAATAAAATTAAATATCGTTAATATCTCCTGATAAACGAGTGACAAGACGACCCGCTGAAGCTGAGCCGGTGGACTGTAATTTCGGGCAAAATTCATTGTGTCCAAGGTTTAAAAAGCAAAAATTATAACTCAGTATTGTGGGTGGATTCTATAGTTTTAATGAATAAACAGATAGAGAGTTAAGTTGCAAAATGTCCTTATTCAGGATGTTGCAAGTTGATGTTGCTATGTGGTGAATGGCCTGGAAGCAGCAGGCTCACCGGTACAACTTTGGGGAACATTTTCGGCTGCGGAACCGCCAGCGCGAGCTGACGAAGCCGGAAATAAGAATGCGGAATAGGCCGAGCTATTCTTCTCGACGGCTAATTAATGCTTGCGGCTCGGTCGCTAAAAATTTTCTTCGAAAGCTCACAAGTAAGCTGCCTGCGCACAGGCGCCGACTATGTTGTGAGGGAAATAAAACCGACAAAAATTTGGCCTAGCGAGAGCTAGAAACGTCAGCCGTTGAATCTTTTCACGGTATTATTAACTTATAAAGCCAGTTTTTTATCGGATATAAATGACTTACAGTACTGATTTTCATTGCAGTTGCAGGTAAAATGTCCTTTAAAAATCAGTGCATTTATTGGCACAACTATTTCCGCACACTCCATCAGGTAAATAGCTCTAGATGCAAATTCTAGCACAGATTGGGGAATTGGACAATAATTACTCTGAAAATTCAGAGAAAAGGCTTTTTAATTTCACGGATCATTTTGTATATTGGGTTTGGAAAAAGGGAATTCCTAGGTGTCAATTCTGGAATCTGGGGTGGAAGGGGTGGTTAATCTCATAATTCATTCCATCTTCTTGTGTCATTTTTATTGATCTATCCTCCTTTTCCTTTTCTCTACTTAATTTTTCTCAGTTATAAATTACTTTTATTTTCCTCTGCCCGTCTCAATTAGCCAAGCTATTTGCGAGCAGAGGATGTTTGTGTGTACATATATGTCAGTGGTTGAGCTAATTTAATTTGTACTTATGGAGATCAGTAAACTTCAACTTTTAATTTACGTAACTTAATTTGTAACTTATGAAGATCAATAAACTTGAACAACTGAACTTCAACTTCTTCAACTTCATTTGTTCTAAATGTGAGGGAGATAATCTCATGATTTTTTGTTCGTTCTACTGAATGTGCGAGCCTACACCCCCCAATAGCCTCCCACCCGCAGGCGCAACATTTTTATTGGGGGGATTTTGTCTCTATTTTAAAGGGTTACAGGCGTTTGTAGACTGGGAGGGAACAAGACGTTTCAATACGAACTCCCCTAAAATCGCCTGCGTTGGAGGCTAACATCCCAACCGAAAAAAAAAAAGGCGACACTGTCCAACCTCTATGTGCGACCACCTCTCAATCTTGACCACCTCCAATAAACGACTATCTACCCAAAACACCCAAATGATCCTAGTTAAATAATTACAGTAGGAGACCTCTCTTAAATTAACGACCCTCCGACCACGTAACTCCCATTTGAGGGTAACAGTTCTCTAAAGCAACATTACATGACCTTCATTGGAAAAATAAAACACTCAAAATAAAGAGGTATATTTTGTCTATTTTCTATTTTAAAGGGTTCAATTCGCGGTTTTTTTTCTTCAGGTCCCCAATGTCACTTGGTCGAAAAGTCTTCAGAAAGAAGCGGAGGACTGGGTCAAATATCTAGCAGAAAACAACAAGTTTGAACATAGCAATAAGAATCCTGGGAATTTATACCTGTCCCATCCTAATGAATATCCAGAGGAGTATTGCAGTGATGCTATACAGTGGTTCCATTCGGAGGAAAAGTTTTATAATTACGACAAACCCGGTTATAATCAAGCAGCGGGACATTTTACTACGGTATGATCATATATATTTGGTGTTGGAATAAACATTGACTGAAATAGTTTGATAAATAAATGAGTTATTATTTTTTCAAAAATTTTCCCTTTTCTGACTGTTTTAAATGTGTGGTGAATTTTGGGATCGCACTCGGCGCAAGATTTACAGCTCATGGGGGATACTGTTGTATTGATTCAGCAGCCACACAAGTAACGCCCAGCACTTCAGTGATAATAGAGGCAGAATAGTACGGTGTGGATTACTTTCGTGCGATTACTCTAGTGCTGCTCGTACCTCTAGTCTGCTACACAGTCGTTTTTAGTGTCGTCACGCAACGCTGGCACAAAAAATGGCTCTGTAGCAGACTACTCGTACTTCATGCCTCGGTTTAAATTTAAAGTAAAATTAATACTTTTTCGTCACTTTCAGCATTCTTTGTTTTGTTTGTTTTTTATTTTCAGGTGGTTTGGAGAAATTCCAAAGAAATTGGGGCAGCGTGGGCCATTCGCAAAGACAAGAGACTTGTTGTTTCTATCAAATACAACCCAGGAGGCAACTATGTCGGTTACTTCGGTAAAAACGTTTTCCCACCTATTGCTCGCACTCTAGGTTCTCAATGGCCTTACACTCCACCCAAGTTTACGTGGTGCCCAGTACCAGTACGACCAACAACGGATTCCACGGATCCTAATGTGGTGCCTGCAGCTGGAAAAGCGATGATCTGTAGTCTTTACTTGGTTATTGCGTCTTTAATCTTCGCTGATTTAATGTTATGAACTGATTTGATCATGATTTAATAAGGTGGGCCGTAAGGGACATTACAATTTTTCTTTTTTGCTTAAGTTATCGCGCGATAAGTTAAAATTATCGCGCGATAAAATGAACAGTTATCGCGCGATAAATAAGAAAATTATCGCGAGATAATTAGTCAGTTTATCGCGCGATAAATTTGCAACATATCACATGATAGAGAAGCCTGACTCACGCTTTCCACCCACGTGTTTATAGCCTTTAATTCTCAGAGTTTAGGTTTTATAAGAGGGTCTCAATGAGGTTAACCGATAGGCGTAAACGGGCAAAAAATTTAGTCGATAGCCGTAAAAATTGAAAAATTTTAACCGTTAGCCGTAAATAGGATAAAAAAGAGTTAACCGTAAAAGAAATTGTTCCCTAGATTTGCTACTTTTAACGAGGGTACTAAACTCACTTATGGTTACGTTTTTTGCTTCCCGGCCGGCTATTGTGACTCCGTACGCACGTTAGGTAAATCCATAGCGAAAGTGTGGCTTCTTGCTGGGGATCAATATTTGCGATTTTCAGAAGGTCGTGCCCTCGAAACTAGTGAAACAACACGCAGAGATCTCACTGTTTGTAAAGCACGTTGCCGATAAACAACATTTCCCTGTTTTTCTCTGACGCTACGGTAGACATTGCCATGCCATGTCTAGTCCCTGTACGGCGTCTTCCCACGCAGTCTCGGTCAAGGCATTTCGGTGGCGAACTCGCTCGGACCAGGTGACCCGAAACGCAGCGGCCGCGCGAAATAATGAGGCCTACGGACAAGGCAACGGCTGCCGCAGTGGTTCCGTACAGTCCTTCGCTATCATTAAAAACACTGGACACGGGAATTTTGTTATTGGCCGTTTTCACACTAGAGCTAGAAACGGATTATTCGTCTGAGACTAGCCTGTGTACAGTCGCCCCCTTCCGCGTTCCAGACAGACACCCCTTATCCGATTTTTTTCTGAGGGGAGGGGGCGGCTGTACACAGGCTATCTGCAACGAATAATCCCTTTCTTCAAACTGTCCGTCGAAATTAAAGGATAAAATCGGGCGGATTGTTCATTCAAAATTAAAACTATTCCATTTTCAAATTAAGACGTATTTACCTATCTGACGCGAATCATCAAACGGATAACCCGTCTCACACGAATAATCCTCCGTCTCTAGTGTGAAAACGGCCATTTCTGTTGTAATGAATGTCGCGCCCCGGCCTTGAGTTGGACGTTCGCGCGTGTGCTTTGCTTCTTCACAAAGATTATTTTTAAATTGACTATTGACATTTCTATGTGTAAAATAATATTAGAAGTGGAATGCTTTATAAAAGGTATACGATCTATCAAATGTTAAAATTTTTCAAAAGAATAGCTTGTTTCACTTCCCGAGATGATCTAAAGACCTTTATTTTGCTTTAAAGATACAAAAAATACAGGTTAATTAATATTTAACTTTTTGAAACAAAAGAAGTTAATTTTTAACTTTTTTGTTAACCGTAACTTAAAAAAATTAGCCGATAGCCGTAAAAGAGCACAAATTTAGCTAAATTTTAGCCGATAACCGTAAATACCACCACCCCATTGAGACCCTCTTACAAGTATCTTTGAGAGACCTTCCTCGTTTGTACGATATAATTGGAGGTTCTTTGTAGATCTATCTAAGAAGAGGTTGGTTCTCTATCAGTTGCCAGTGTTTCATAAGAATGTTTTTAAGGCTAGCAACTCAAATTTCAAAGAACGCTTGATTGACAGAGGCTACCCACAAACCATGATAGAAAACCTTCCATCGGATATACAGTTCATAGAGAGGGAGTCTGCTCTCCTGAAACCCAACAACAAAGAGGAAAAAGAAATATTGCCTTTCGTGACACAGTACCAGCCCTCAGTGTCTACTTTAAAAGAAGTTTTAATGAAAAAATAGAATCTTACACAAAACCATCCTTTACTTCGCCAAATTTTTAAAGAACCACCTATCATTTCCTACAAGAAAGGAAAATCCCTGAAGGAGATGCTCGTTAGAGCTAGAATATAAAAGGTTAACACAAGGTTTCACGCGGGTATGGATGTGCGGCCTGTCACTGCTTGCATTTTCGCATGTTATCCTTTAGTTATTGCGCATGCTAATCCGCCCGGAGAATTCAGTTCTTTTCTGTAAATACATAACAAGAACATAACCTTTATTCACTTCACTTAACAAAAGGGACCACTGTTGGACAATGAAATACTTTAAACTTGAAGCTAAGAAGTAATTATAACCTGGCTTGATTCTCACTGTATAGTTTTGAAACGAGAGATACTTGATTACATATATATAGCAATTGTAAATCTTAATTACTCCCCTTTTCCTTCAGGATTAAAATGCTGTAATCCTTGCTTGGAAATCTAGCTTGACAACTCAAATGAACTCTATTAATTAAAAGCTGGCTTAAAAGTTAGACTATAACTCCTTCTTAGTATGATAAAGAAAGGGTCAACATCAAGATAATGCATGCATACATGCATGCAACGTTCCAGCTTCTCTTTTTCGTGTGATATGTTGCAATTTATCGCGCGATAAACTGACTAATTATCGCGCGATAATTCAAATTTATCGCGCGGTAAACTGACTAATTATCGCGCGATAACTTAAGCAAAAAAAATTTATTGTAATGTCCCTTACGGGCCACCGTAATTTAAGCCTTTCACTGCCAGAGTGTTTGATAGGGTTTTGTAAGCTGCCGACTCTAATTTTTGAGTCTGTGTACCAAATTCTATGATGTGACCACTTAAATGAAAGCTCTCTGCCTGTACTTTCACATGATGATATTTGTTTCTGAAAATTTTAGAAAATAAAATTTGGAACTTTGGTCGATATTTGCCTTTGGCGACATTTGGCTGTGAAAGGCATTTGGCTGTGAAAGGGTTAAACGCGAGTCAGTGAAAGCAAGTAGATACCAATGAGCCATTTAAACGAAAGCGTTGTTATCCCTACCTACACACAAATTCTCGAGACTGATCTCCATACATTTCCTAAAGAATGAGTTGGGATAATTTGATGAAAGATCAAAGCATTATTCCTCAGATGTCCTCTAAACCTTTTTTCTTGATTATGTATTGATATTGTTATTATTATTGGATGATGACTACTTCAATTAACTAACAGCTATAACAACTATTTATTGATGTATAACTACTTTTAGTAAAATCCAAGTAGCTAGTGGTCTATTATCAATGCTGCGTTCTGATTGGTTGAGCTACTACTAGGCTATATGTTATAGCCTACTATAGCTACTAGCGAAAAGCGCGCGCTTTTTGGCGGCAAAAAAGGATTAAAGTCTAGTTTTAACTAGCTAAATTTTTTTATTCTCGATATTTTTGACCAACTAGTTGGATTTTACTAAAACAATTATTCCTCTCGCCCTCATGGCCTCTGAGTCAATAGCTTGTTCGGCCTTCGGCCTCATGGGCTATTGACTAAGAGCCCATTCGGGCTCGAGGAATAATTGTTAAGTATAATAACCGTTTAGCAATCAAGTAAGAACCTCTAACTTGGTCAAGACGGATGTACGCTTTGTCTGATTTAATCAATCAATACTTAATGGACGAATTATTAATTAATATCTTATACTGATAGCTGCTTTATCCCAAACATCTGGTTGTCGAGAGGGTTTGGAAACAGTGCAGTAGGGGGTACCTCATAGAAGAACATCCCAACTGTCTGGCCTCTTGTATTGAGTGTAGTGTTTTTCATTTCCTATACTTCATAACTGCCCACTTTGGTAAAAATAAGTAATAGTTAACTGTTAATTAAACAGTTGATTAACCCACTAGAGACGTGTGTGGACATATTTAAGTTCCACTGCTGTACACCCTAGTGGGAGCAAAGAAAGTCTAAAGCTTACGGGATATTGTAAATAGCTGAGCAGAATAGTCAAACCGCAGAATTGTAAGTAGAAAGTAGAATGTCGTTATAGAGATTTAAATTTTCGTTAGTTAATGCCATATCTTTTTTAACCAGTCCTATTAAGACAAATAAAATTCATTACTGATCACAAGAACTAGCGATGGACTTTGCTTTTTGCTGGGATGCTACAATTTGTTGTGGCTACTTATCCTTCAATACGGTGTAATTTTTTTGTTTGAAACTCTTTGGACTAAAGATTGAAATTCAACTACAACTTACATCAATGGTATTCAAACATGCGCCTAACTGAAATTCAAAAGTGTGCCATATATTTCAATTGCCATAACATGGTCTAGGAGAGAATGTGTTAAAAAAAGGTAAGCAATACTAGTACGTGGCAGGCAGGGTCGAGCATGGCAGGCACTTGAAGCTAGAGGACATATGTCATCCGTGTCTGATAGAAACAACTTTTGTTTGGAACTATTTCAAGTCAACGTGTCGTGCTCACCATCTCAGTTCAGACTCGTGCCCAAAGAGAAGATTGGGGTTCAGTTGAGGCGCCAACCTAAACCCAATCTTTTCACTCGATCCATTCACCCAACAAACTCATAAATAGCGACTAGGTCCTCTCTCCTCCGTAAGGGCCTCTTCGTATCGTAGAGAGGGCTGGAGAGGGGGAAACAGAAAGCTCGCGGGGGACGATGGGAAGGGGAAAGAGAAGAAGAAGCTAGAAATTCGGCGCCATCTTGAATGCATTATATGGCAGAGGATCCCGCCTTTTGCCTCTTCCCATCGTCCCCCGCGCGCTTTCTGCTTTCGATTATTGCTGTTTTTATTGGAATACCCAGCGGGAGCCTGGTCTATGAGCTAAAGTTGAATGCCTCTGTGTTTGTCATAACTGTGACGAATATGTATTTTTAAAGGTAAATTTAATAATTATGCTTCCTAGGATAAAAGAAAACTATTTGAGCGATTGAAAATTCTCTTCGTCGCCTAATAACAAATTAGTTTTCATATACCTGCATGTAAACTTTATTACGCCTGTACACTCCCTCATTCTAAGCCTGAAAAGAATGTGCTCCCAACATGTTCCATTAGCTGTGTGTATACTAAAGCCAAAGTCAACAAGCAAACTTGAAAGAAACTAACAAAACGTAATTAAATCGGTACTTTGTACAAACATTTATAAGCTATTTGAAATGTCAGATAAAAAACAAGTCTGAAAGCTATAAGTGCTTTTACCCGTGACGTTCCACACGTCATGCTGAGGAAATATGTCTACATCTGAAAAAAATCACGAAGTGATTATGTTTAGAAGCCTTGTTTTTTTAGGTTATCTGTTGCTGCTAAGTATGACTGTTCAGAAAGCAGGTTAGTGTATTCTAGAAGTAGGGAAACTTAAATTCTGTACATGCGCAAGATTGACTCAGACATAACCACTGTTTTCGTTTATAGTCATGGAACTCAAATGAAATTAGCCCCTGGAAGGCTGTATTTTTTCCCACCTCTCTTTGCAAATTGCAGTACACGTTACCAGGAGCCCATGGGTTCCTGACGTTACCCAGAAACTGGAGATAGAACATCACTTTGCAGGTCTTGATGAACGAAAATGAAACACTGTAACACTGTGGGAATTCGAAATCGGAAAGAAGTGAAAGTACGCCAAATTACTGAAATTCAATGTTAAACACTGAAATAGTTTTTGGGAGAAATTCGTGCACAGAGTCGGCCTTATTCGATTAATTTGAGCCAAGTTGTATGGAAACCTAAAATACAGGAGGGTTTTGCTGACTGGTTATATTAGCTGACACAGATTACATAACTGTCCATTTGAAATGCAAGTACGATTTGGGACAGCTAATGAAAACTGGTATTTAAAATCAATTGTTGAACTGATCATGAAGATCGATTCTAATGTTTCAGCGGTTAAATTAATTACAAAAAGGGATTTAAAGGCAATAGAAGAAGGAGATAAATGTCCCTAGAAGAGTAAACAGGCTCATCATATCTGCGATTAATTGACATTCAGATATCTTTTTTGCTCGACGTTTTTAATAGTCCCTGAGTTCGTTTGTCTATGAATGCACAAAGTTCAGGTAGTAAAACAAAAATTGTGAGCTGAACGAAATTTCAATACAGAAGAAAGTTACAACATATTTTTAAATTACATATTGTCTACGAAAAAGACGCTTAGTGATTCTTTATTTTAAAACAACAATACTAGATTCCTCTGTTGCCAGAATAACCTGAAGCACTCCTCATTGTCTGTCAGTCCAATTCAAACAAACAAATTGGTACAATTTTCGATTAAGTGTTCTGTCAATCTAATATGGCAGCAATCCAAATATCATAGCTGACCAAATTATTAAATTTAGGCTCTCTGAAAAGGTTTTGTCAAACGATATACTGCTACTTACCAACTCACTGATTGATTGTTCTACGTTCTAAATATCATTTGAGAATGTAAAAAAACTAATTCCCCTTGTGAAAGACAGAAATTAAGTCAATTTCGTCGAATTGAGCATTTCGGCAAATGTCAATGCGTTTACAATGCACTTTAATGTTGGACGACTCTGCTGATTTTATTGGCAGGTTGTTCTTTGTCATGTAAACAGCCTTCGCTTATCTGGCATAACCACTTCAGGAGAATCCATCAGGTAATTTACTTCTAACTTTCAACTGCCCGAGGCCTCCCGGCCGGGTTAGTGGGCAAGATGTTATAAAACCGTCCGCTTCCGTAACCAATCAGATCGCATGATTTGGAGAATCCCGCCCGGTCGCAAACTTAGGAAAAAACAAAATAGAATAAAATGCAAAGATATCAAAACTATTCAAGATGCCAATCAAATATTTACAATGAATAACAATAACAATAATGGTTCAGTCGGTCACAAAATTTTGAGCTTCGTGTCGAAGTTTTTCACGTAGCTAGATTCTATTTTGGTTGTTTATACTTTGATGCAGTAGCACAAACATTATTTATTCTCAAGTATCGTCGATGTGCCTGCTTGCGAGGAGCGGTAAAAGAAGCGAAAGAATTAAAAAGGATGAAATGATCTAGGAACTGGAAATTTGTGCCGATCTCCTTCCCATCAATGTGCATCACATGGTTTGGGTTTTGTATGATTATCAAAGGATTAACCTCTGAAGCCCTAATATTCAAATACAAATTCTCCAGACTGATCTCTATACATTTCCTTAAAGAATACGTTGAGAGAATTTGGTTTAAGATCAAAGCTTTTCCCATCAGATGATCATTTCATTAATTCTCACAACATTTTCTTTAGATTATATAGTGATATTGTTAGAAGAAAATTGGCTTTGGTCACTCTTACGGCTCAAAGGTTTAAGGGATTGCACGACCGGCAGATAAATTTGAATAGAATAATGGTAATAAGGAAAAAATTGAACATAAGTTGGCTTTGGAAATAAAACCGTTTTTTGTCTTCGTAGGATAATTATTTCTTTTAATGCCAAAAAAACATCCTCACAACCGTGTACATTAAATTTAGTGACATTTTGCTTAGAGTAAGAACAAGAAGATCACTAATAGCAAATAGTTAAAGAAGCTTGAAAAAAGAAACAAACAGAAAAGAGCTTTGACTTGAGAGAAAGAGAAAGTGTGTGTCCCAGTCCCTCTCGTACCTGCCAAACGAGTTGCTTCAAAGCAGTACCAAGTGTAGGAAGCAAGTCGATCAACCTAATGGTAGACGGTTTCTTTAGACCAAGCGGTGGTCCACTAATAATCTAAGGCAAACCATACCGAAAAAACTTACAGCAAAGAATGAAGTAAAAGCGACAGATCTTTTATACCTTATCTCCTGAAATGCAGATACTGAGTTTTCCCAGGAGCCCATCAAATGGAGCCTCCATCTCCCATACAAGCCCTTGGAGTCAACCCTTTCCCGAGTAGATTTATAATTAGAACGGTTCCCAGGGGAGACTTCGCGCGCCGACGGTGGGAAGAGCCAATCACAACGACGTAATGACACTGCTATTGTACTTTCTCAAACAGCAGGAAATTCGGTGTTGACACGCCAAACACAATCATAAGCTAGTGAAACGTGACTTTAGCGTTTTCATCCCTCAGAGATTTTCTTTCTTTTCTTTCTAGCGGGTAGATTATACTGTAGAGAGTTTTAAACTCTTACTATGTTAATTTTAAGTTTGGTTACTTGTCTCACATTAAGAGGCCATAAAGCTGGTCTGTTACATGCGTAATGATTAACTACTACCTGCAGTCTGTGGCTCTGACAGGATTCGTTTTCTTTAGCCAATTTTTTTGAGCGTTAAGGTTCCTATGTCGGCTAAATGACTCAATATTAATCAAATTTCTAGTTTTTCAAGTGTTTTTTTTCAAAAATGCCTTTATCTGAATAAATACTTGTAGTCCTTGTGGCTGTTTTGCCCGTCAGCTAGTGTGATGATTCCCTGCTATGTTTTGTAACGCCGGGCCCAGCCATTGTTTCTCGCAAAAAAGTGATCTACAGCCGGGCGAATTCGAAGGAAAGAATTGGCCTAAACTTCTACATTAATTGCTGAGAATTGTCCTGTTAGTCAGTCATAATTCCAGTTTGGCGCAGATACAATCCATTTTGTTTTTCTTGAGATAAGAGGGTATTTGGACTGGAGCACGATGTCACAAATTCCTCCGTTAGCAAATTACTTTTGAGTTAGCTTCACGGTCGAGCAACTGTTGTCTTCTGTTCAACTTTTCAAGTGCCAGTTTTATCAGGCAACTCTCACGGTGATACAAGTCAGTTGTAAAGGAAGACTGCAATTTCTCAAATTTCGGAACTTAAGCATTCCTCCTTAGTTGTTAGATAGGTCATCGCTTTTGCACGCGGTGCTTAACTGGCGAAATCCACTCCACGGTGATGACAAAAATCAAATGATCATGCCCTGGCACTTTTTCTGCGCTGATCATCGAAAAGTTCCAAATCGTCCACAGAACGCTTAATATTGGTCGTCTCTTTTCAAGGTGCATGCTTAAATGTGGGATGCATGACGGCAAAAAAAAAAACACTCGCAAAGATAACCCTTCCGTGATCCTCAGTTCGCTGCCTTTGTCCCACGGCTTCATGCTCAGTCAGCGGGTAATTCATTAACTTATATTTCATGATACCCAGATCCCAGCGTTTGTAAAATTGTAAAAATGGACGTATAGTAAAAAAGGAAAACGGTCGAAGGATGGGCTTTTGGGTTCGACTTCATCCAACTTCATTTTTTCACGGTGACATACGAGACTCACGGAAATATGACGTATTCGTTCGCGGGAAACAAGCCGTTCTATTTATAAATCTACTCGGGAAAGGGTTGACTCAAGAAATTAATGGAGATGGAGGCTCCATTTGATGGGCTCCTGGTTTTCCTTCATAGGTTGCTAACGTAACTTGGTCACCTGATCTCTGGAAGAAAGCCAACGCGTGGGCCGATTACTTGGCCAGACACAACAAATTCGAACACGAGAGGAAACATCCTGGAAATTTGTTCTTAAGTCCTGGAAGGCCTGCCAAACCTTGTGAACAAGCAGTAAAATTGTTCTACCAGGAGGAGAAAAATTATGATTATAGTAAGCCACGGTATTACCCAAAAGCTGCACATTTCACCCAGGTAAAAACTTCGGATTAATTTAGGTTTCTGGGAAACTGCCCACCTACCCCTCCCCTAAGCCATCATTTTGCCTAAAGTGAGAAGTAAGTGTTAATGTTGACTCAGGGGAGGGGTAGGTGGGCAGTTTCTCAGAAACCTAAATTGATCTACAGCAAATATGGTTAAGACCACCCTCTTTGGCACCAGGGTTAATTTTGATTTGAGATTTAAAATCAGGTCAGTTATGAAAAATGGCAGCAGCAAATGGTAGAGATAGCCATGCAATTGTCGATTCATGTGAGAACGATGATATTGTTAAGTTCCTGGATCTCTTCTTGATGTTTAAACGACTAACGACAAACGTTAAGCTAGGGTTGCGGGAAAAGAGGTGACGCGGTCATCTCTGCACTTGCAGTTGCAAACGTGATTCTTAAACTCTCCATTATTTTCCACCTTACGTTACGCCTGTCAGTTGCATCTCGCATGAAACGTGTTTTGTGACGTGTCCTGCATTCAAATTTTTATATCGAGGTTTAATATTGTTGTCAACAAGCTCGTATCTTTATGGCTGTAGCAGGGATGGGCCATGGTGGCGACTTTCACCACCTCAGCCGTCCTATCTCCATGGAACTTGATAAGTGCTTGGAGACAAATTAATGAATGTTTAGCCCAATTTTATAACTCTTTCCTTTCCTTTTTTAGCTCGTCTGGAAAAACACAAAGCAAATCGGCGCAGCCAGCAAACGTAGAAAAGACGGGAAAACTGTGGTGGTAGTAAAATATTTCCCCCCCGGAAACGTTGGAGGTTATTTTTCCAGAAATGTGTTTCCTCCGAAAAAGCCCATCTTGACAACCTCCGTTCCACATTGTATAACGGCAACCACCCAGGAGGGTCGCCCACTCCCTTCTGTAACCACCTCTGCTTCTAACGTCAGCATTGTCACAACAGATTGTAAACAAGTTGTCACCAAACCAAACGTTGTTAGGGCAGGTGTTTCTGCTGTACTAGAATCACAGAGACTGGCCACGTTTGTTGTCCAGTGGGTGTTTTTTGTTTACCTAATATCTTAAACACATGGCAACATGAAAAAAATAAAGGATAGTAAAAACTTACTTGGTTGTCCATTTTTCATAATAATATTAAGTAATAGGCACAAAAAACTCGTTTGAAAATGATAGGGGCCTCTTCTTGTTTTTAATTTTTTTTTTTAAAGAAAATGGACAAATCATTTTCTTAGCGTTTAAATTTCTAACGCTATTTTCAGTTTCCCACCAATTTGACAGATCGCTTATAATATGCCACGTGTCGGTTTCTTGTTCACCCTTTCAAATGATGGATATTGTTACCACCTCATTGATGGAACCCAGTTCATCCAAGAAGCCACTTTGTGATTAGCCTTCATTGGCAACTCTACGTGGTTTTGGGGAGTTCAGAATAACCAAAGTCAGGCAGGCGAAAAAACCTTGCGACAAAATTAATGATAATGATAGTAATAATGAAGATGATGACGATGATAATAATAATAATAATAATAAGTCAAAAGTGAGCAAAGGCTGACCTTCAAAGCGGGGATGATGCATAACTTTCGTAACATCGACCTGAGGGCGCATTAGAGCACCTACCTGAAAAGATATTAGAAACATGTTTGCTCTGCTAGCCTGCGAGCAAACTATCCCTTCTAGCTATAGTATCAGTCTTCCTCTATAACTACCTTGCCCTTTCTACGTTAAACTATTGTATCAAATAACTATTTTACTCGCCAAACATTAAACTTGGTTTTACAAAACAAAAAAATCAATTTGGCGGTAAATGGGAAAATACTATGGCTATATCAAATGACCACATTTATTGAAACTGGCTGTATATGGCAAAAAGGGAAAACTGAATTCTCTATTTGCAAGAAAAGGAAAGAAATCGGTCGAATGAACTGATAACCACTTTCAATTTACACCAACATACTTTGTTTTAAAAAATAAAACAAGTGCGCAATTTATCCTAAATAGTAATTTACAGAAGGCGCTCCTCAAAGATTACCGATTTCGGTTTTTTACAGAGTAGGCTGCTGTCAACTTATGAAATAGAAAAGGAAGTCCATCTTATTAGGTTTTATCATATTGACATAGAAGGATGAAAGGATGATGAATACGTCAGGTTTTAAACATTTGCTGCTTATACCGTAACTTGACAAACATGCACCTGCTATAACATTGTCATATTTTTGAGGGTGAGTTACCGTTTTCGATTATTACGCAACAAGCGCACGGGGAGATAAATAGTGACCTTTCTGATCCATCTCGACTTCTTAAGCTCTGTATTTAGATAACAGTACAGCCATGAACATAGCAGGTCTTACAACTGTACTTATTGCCATCCTGACAACTTGCAAAGGTATGACCACCTCACTTATCAAAGCGACTGTGTTTGTGTAGCGGCTCCGAATACATTATTTCAAAGCGCACCGCACTTTAATATTCTCTTTGCAGTTCCCTACCTCCGTTCAGCTCGAATACTTCGGCTTTTAAAATGTGAAGGGTAAAGTGAAACACCATTTGATTCGACAGTTTAGAGAAAATCAAGATTTAAAAAGGGATTGGGCAGCTTTTTTTTTTAAATGTATCATTTGCATATCAGTGAAAACACACTGAAAACACTGAGTGTGCGCTGTGTTTTTGGGTTATGTTGCGAGTCATCCAGGGTTTGGTTGCTGTACGCTTGTGTTTATTACTCCGGTCTCTATTAGCTAATAAAAATGCATTCACTTTGAATTAAGGAGCTTTCGGCTTGGGCCGAGGGTTTCGCGCGGTTGTAAGGAAAGATGAGTACATCTTGCCAATTAACGTCACCGAAACGGTCGAATTAAGAAAAAAACACAGAATTATTGCTCTTGCAGGTTTATAAGCTAGGGCTATGCTTTACAGTATATTGGAGTTTCAATGCATGCATAGATAAATGTTTTACAAAGGTTTGTCGAACAATTATATTTGCAGGTAAGCTGTCATTTAAATATCAGTGTATTTATTGGCACAACTATTTCCGCACCCTTCACCAGGTAAATAAGAATTTTTACTAAACGTTGTTTCTGCCTCTCCTTTCGAGGCGTACTGTCCTAGCTATAGATTGGCAATGTTGCTATGTACAGCCCAAAAAGGTTTTGTTTTAATAGCAATCAGTTATGAGGCTGAAAATTGTTTTTAATTAAAAATTAAACTTAAAATTAAAAAAAAATCAAAATTAAAGTTGGACCAGATAAATTGCCTTTCTTGACATTAGATGGGAAAAAAACCTTAATACTTATAGTTAATTCTTTCAAGTTGCAGAAAAATTGACCAATAGAATGAAATTGGACAAGTAATTTGATGTTAAAGAATATAGCATATATATGACCGTCGCCCAAAGTTTGGAGGATCGTCTCCTCTGGCGAAGATGGTTCTTTGCACTGTCTCACATTTCATTGTTCTTCTTTATAAACGTGAAAAATTCTTACCGGAAGCAAGGTTTGAACTTGAAAACTTTTCGCACAGGTTCCCAACGTCAGGTGGTCGAGGAGCCTTCAAGCGGAGGTCTGGGTCGAATTTGTAGCCAAAAACAACAAAATTCATCATGGCAAAAATAATCCTGAAATGTGAAGGAAACTTTTTCAATAGTGGAACATCACATGACTTTCATTGGGAAAACCACTTAAACTAAAGGGCTTTATCTTTACCAATTCAAGAATGTTTTTCCTCAGGTCCCTAATGTCACGTGGTCGAACAGACTTCAGAAAGAAGCGAAGGTCTGGGTCAAATATCTAGCGGAAAACAACAAGTTTGAACATAGCAAAAAGAATCCTGGGAATTTATACCTGTCCCACCCTAACGATTACCCAAAAGAGTATTGCAGTGATGCTGTACAATGGTTCCATTGGGAGGAGAAGTATTACAATTATGACAAACCCGGTTATGTCAATAAAGCGGGACATTTTACACAGGTATGTTACCTGATGGTGATATAAACGCGTTAATGACGTTATCATAGTCCAACATCTCGTTCCCGGGCTAATATTGAATATCGTTGTGCAGGGAATTTTATACACAGGTTGTATTAAAGCCTGATAAAAATTATCGAATGGTTTGATAGATTACGAAAATCTCGTACCGGGATATTTGTTGAAAACTAGGATTTCTAGGCTTTAAAAATAATGAAAAAAATTCAGCAAAAATCATAACCATAATGCATTTCCAGAGATATAGTTCCTATACCACAGTACGCCAAGAAGGCCGATGCTTTTACAAGGCTTCTACCTATACTTGTCAGGGCCTTGGTCCAAGGAGTCTAACCAAGGAGTCTAAAGCTGTTACTCACTGATTCTGATAACACCTTAACGACTGAAGCTGAATTGCATTTAAATGCCTTAGTTTACAATTCAGCTTCTGTCGTTAAGGTGTTATCAGAATCAGTGAGTAACAGCTTTAGACTCCTTGGACCGAGGCCCTGACAAGTATAGGTAGAAGCCTTGTAAAAGCATCGGCCTTCTTGGCGTACTGTGGTATAGGAACTATATCTCTGGAAATGCATTATGTTTATGAAAAAGATGTGCCACTTCAGAGAGTCTTTGATTTGTTATCTCTAGGTAGTCTGGAGAAACTCAAGACAAATTGGAGCAGCTTGGGAAATACGTAAAGATAAGAGACTTGTTGTTTCTATCAAATACAACCCTGGAGGCAATTATGTCGGTTACTTCAGTAAAAACGTTTTCCCACCCACTGGAAGTACATTGGGGCCCAATTGGCCTTACAGTCCGCCCAAGTTTACAAGGTGCCCACCCCCCCGTTCAGCTGCAGCAAGAAAAAGGGTGTGTGGTCTTTACATGGTTGTCGGAACTTTAGTCTTTTTTTCATGGTTTGATTTAAGAAGCGGCTTGTGAGCTTGGGGACCCTTGAAGGACCATGAAAGCTGCCGGAATGGAAGAAGAGTTTGCCAGGCTACAGTTTTCGCCAACAGTTTGTGTTATATACAAAGTGCGAAAAGTGAAGGATAACGTTTTTGTAGGAAGTAAGTCTCCATTTACACCAGAATTAAATAATTTTAAAAACATTTATCGTTAAATCATGAACTTTGTATAGAAAAACGTAAAATAAACCTGAATAAAAAACTTAGCTAAACTTTAGATGTAACACCTTATTTGCAAGATACAAGTTCAACTATAATTCATTTGATCTCTGACCAACCATTTACATTGTGTAAGTGATTATTTTAAGCATTCTTAACAGTAAGTTGATTCGCTCTTGACGATGATAAATTCGTTTTCTATACATGTATAGTTTAAATTTACTGACTGATAGATTTTCAAATAATTGATATATTATAAAAAATGAAATTTGGATTTGATTTAAAATATAATTTAAGGATTAGGTTTGGATTCCTTTTTTTTAAAGCGTGCGTCCAAGAGGATTCGTAAGTTTTTTGAGATAAAATAATGAATATATGAATAAACGAAGTTAAAAGATAAGCTTAGAGTTGATGATATTTTGAACCTCCGCGACATAGAGGGCGCCAACCGACTAAAAAAAGAAAAACACCCGGCCTGTGGACACTAGAGTTACCAGCCTCATTTCCATGCCATTTTCGGATCATATAGCTCGCCAAACCGGTTTTGGGCATTATTGCACCGTAGGTATTTCGATTATTTTTATTTCTTAACGTTCCCCCGTCCCCAAACTAAAAGATAATTCAATTATTACAGTGTGAAAAATCCACCCCATCCCACCCATCCCCCAAAAAGTAGAAATTTATTCTAATTGCCTCATTTTATGTCCGACCAACCACTAAATCTCTTTTAACGCAAAATAAACCATAGTGTTTTGCAAACTACAGTCAAACCTCTATCACCCGGTCACCCTCAGGAATTAGGCAGGTGACCGCTTAATGGCGGGCTGCTTAATATATAGAGGTTTGACTGTACTTTAGATAACCAATAACAAGCATATGAGCCATTTCCGAGTTCCAAAAACTCCCACTTTCAAAACGAGGCTAAGTGCAAAACCTTTCTTGAGAAAGTTTTTTTTTGCATGAGAATAAAAAATCATTTTCACATTAATGGCTTTGCACCTAGCCTCGCTTTGAAACAGAGGCTTGGGGCAACTCAGAAATGGCCTATCATAGTCTGTTACTAGCGGACGGTGATTGAAATTTCGTTATTGCTGTAATCAACAAACCTCAGCGGACCGCTGAGGGATCAGTTTCCTCCTCTGACAATGCCTTGGATCGAAATCCACCAACCATGAGCGAGGTTTGTGATACACCAATCACTAACAACAACAGTGGTACAAATGGTCCGACTCAGTAAATCGACACTATAGCCTGATGAAGACCTGCAGTGTGTGGTCAAAACGTCGCGATCAATAGAGAGATTAAGATTCACGTTTACGCCAAACGGCAGACGTGAATTTGTACCACGTGACCAAGTTTTCCTCTTATTCTCCGTTTACTCTTTATTGCTCCTAATAAATAAGCAGTTTTATGCCAGTTTTAACCATAGGAATCGTTCGGAACTATTTTTATCTGCTTATTTTCTATTCTGAGAAATTCTCAACATGAGTCTGACGTTTGCCGTTTGCGGTAAGTGTGAATCTTAATCTCTCTAATATCAAAGAGACAATTGTGAGACAAACGATAAACTAAACCCATTATACACATTATCCCCGATGATTTATCTTTAATGACAAAATGAAAGGTATGAAGAAATAAAGCCAATCCACTCACTCGTGCAAGAACATTATGTCATTAATCTGTTTGGTTTGCCTTGTGATTTGTCATCACTCGCCCGGGGTTTCGACCATTATCGATAGCATACACTGATTCAAGTCTTTGAACAGTAAGGGTCAGTCGTTCTAAAATATCTTCCTGTTCCTTGTTCTGTCGCTCTCGATCACCTTGCGTCCGACTTTCAACGATAAAGGATGTTGTCTTTTTCAAATCCTCTAGGTTTGAAGTTAAGGATGAAAGAAAGCGTTTGATTTCCAAATGAGAACGCTTAAGATTGTTCAAATCTTCCAGAACTAAATCGAATTCACTTCTCTCTAGTTTGCCAAACTTTTTGCCTCCGAACCGCTTGCTTACAATATTGTGAATCTCAGACACCTTTTCCTCTTGCTTTCGGTTGTGTTCCTCTTGTTCTGATAGAACTGCAATGTGGTCCGTTTCCTCAGGACTGTAGTTTGTGCTTATGAACTCTCTATAACGCTTCAGTTTTTTGACAGAGGCATCCAGTTCCAGGTCTTGAAGAAGCCTAGCTCGTTGTATGGCAGCGGTCGCCCGAGCGTTGTCATAAACCCGCTGGAACGTGTTAGACAAAAGTGCGATGTAGAGATTCATGAGAACAATCGCCGCAATCAATATAAACGTGCCACAGAGTAGGCGGGACATGTAAGGCGCCGCTTTATCTAGTTCTGCAAAATTATAATCGTCAAGCAACGGAATCCGTATGATGGTATAAATTAGACTTAATACAGAGTTGTAGTCGTTCACAGGTGTTTGAGCCTGAGGCCCGAACATGATCCAGAAGGCTGCCGCATAGGGTATGTAAAACATCAAAATTACAAGCAGCCACTTTGCGGTTTCCGTACCAATGTGGTCGAGCATAACTACAAAAGGTCCCTGGCCAGGGAAGGGTCGGGCGTATTTTAACAAACGAACCCAGGCAGGGATTAAGGTGCAGGAGAGGATCCGGACAAAAACATCATTGTAACCATTGCTTTTGACGTAGATGTTAACTAAGTGAAGAATTATCACCACTATCATCATGGCATAAGTGACCCAGTCAATGTAATTCCACACGTCTGAGAAATAAGTCTGCTGATTACCCCTGTCTTGTTTAATCCGCCTCAGTTCCTGCTCGACAAAGGTTGCTTCCTGAGGCCACCGTGGGTGACAAAAAGCTAAGTCTCTTTCAACCTCCTTCCGCCTCCATTTGATTAGTTTATTGGACTGCTTCTTTGATCGGTAATAATCCCTTATTTCCTTTCTGATTTCATTGAGCATTATGACAGCAAACACGACTGCGAGGACAATTTTCCACCACTGCTCACTGAGTGGCGAGTAAAATGTGCTGACATCTCGAGGCATTGAACAAGCTAAAACAGTGTACAGTATGGTCATCAGCACGTTTGGAAGAATATCCAGCCACGCCTCGAGCCGAAAGTATCGCCATTTAACATCGATGAGACGTTGGAAGATGGGGTGCATCACAAGTACAATACAATTTGACAAGGAGGCAGACTGTAATGGTGACGGGGCGAGATTATTGACTTCTTTTGGCGACTCACAATTTTCTAAAAAGTTAAGGTAAAAATTCTGCTTGCGATGAGTTCTGTCCACTGAGTGAAATTGATCAAGAGCTTTGTAAGCCTGAAAAAAGGAAAAACGAGGAATAAATAATTCAATTCAGTTTTAAAACACGGAGTGCGATCCACATTACTGTCAAACTTCCAAAACCGTAAGCATTACCATGTGTGGCTTGCGGGATTGGAGTATGAGGTGCTGGCCGCTGAATGGAACGGATTTTCGGCCAAATTTGACTCGAGTCTATTGTCTTCCGGCTTTAAAGCTAAACCGAAAACACTAGTTACTATGACAATTCATGCTCTCTTTGCAGTTAACTCAGGGTTTCAAAACAGCGAGCCAGGCCACGAACACCCTTCACCTCATTACTGCAGGATTTAATAACTATTAGAGACCCCTGTATACATTTTAGTGGGTAGTGTGCCCCTCAAAACTGATAACAGAGACCATTAGATTCGAGGGCGAGGACGACTTTAAAAAAACGAGATTTCTGACTTGAATTTTTTTTGCCTGTTCTCAAAAAATAAGCACCCCAGAAAGCTTCATTTTACTTTTTTAGCCATAAAATTAACACTGTTAATTTTATTGAAGGAGGTTATGCTCTCTCCCGATTGCAAAATGGTAAAACTTTTCATTTGATAACTTGTTTCCGTCAATACGACATTCTCGCTAAAACCAAAATGACGCTGGTTCAAGCTCGCGCCCTACTCAGTACACAAATTGAGAAAATCTCGTTCTTCTTCAAATCTAAAAATCTCTAGTTTCAGACGCTTCAGTTTTTACAACTTACCACCCCAGGCATCTGGGAAATAAGTAGTGATAGCGCAGACATTCCACTGTCGTCTTTTACACCAGCAGATGCTCCCTCGTCCAGAAGCAATCGCGTTGCCTCGGAGCTGTTATGTTCCACTGCAACCTAACGGAGCAATAAAAGTATAATTAAAATCTGATATTACAGATGTTACAAATCAATGGTATTAATCATTTTAGTCTCTCCGTATCCCGTTACAGACTCACATATTTTTTAGACTTTTTAATCTTCGCCTTCAGACGTGACATCTTTTTCTATCTTATTTTTTGATTTCTTTTACATCATTACATAAATTTTCTTTATTTATTTGTTATTCATATTATTTATATTATCTATTACAATTATTTTCACTTTCTTAATTTACATTCATTTCTGTTTGAAGAGTCTATGGTATGACATCTCACATGTACAACTTGCCCTCAGCTATATTCCCATGGGTAGAAAGATCAATTGCATTGTATTCCAGTCTAAACTGACCTGCAAAGGAGTCCGCTTTTTGTAGTCTCTGGCCTCGATGTCTGCGCCGTATGCCAGGAGAATCTTCACACACTGTACAGCCTCATTCTTGGCTGCGTAATACAGTGGAGTTTGGTCTTCTCCTGCAGTTTGCGCCTGAACGTTGGCGCCATTTTCGATTAGAAACCTGACCATGTCTGGGTAATCTGCTAGGGCAGCCACGTGTAACGGTGTTCGGCCATAATCATCAGTTTTATTGATGTCTGCACCTGTAAATAGCACATGAACGTTATCAGTAAGCTTTGCTGTTCAGTTTTCATTTCATTTGCTGTATGTAAATGTTTTAAAAAAATGATTTTTGTCTGTTGTTTAAGTGTATAAACTGTGTCAACCAAGTTTAGCTAATGTCAACAGAACTACGTTCTAATCCATTTAACCTAAATATAAAACTTTTGATCGTTAACAATGTTCGCATAAAGCGAAGAACAGACTTAAACTTATTTTATTTCTCATAGCTAATAGCCAGACCTACCTTGGTCAAGAAAATACTGTGCAACATCTAATCCCCAAGTTCTGGATACTTCATGAAGTAACGTTTGACCAAAGCGGTCACTGGTGTTTACTGAAGCCCCTTCATGTAACAACGACTGGATGTAATTAAAGTGTATATGACAGAAATTTTTTTATTTGCTTGATAGAATCTATACAGTATTTTGATAAGGAAAGCAAAAAAAAATTTTCGATAACGATTTTTCTTCCCCGTGTTTTAACCTGCCAAAAACGTGAAATTTTACTTCCGGTGAGCTACAAAACCGCGCTAGCGAAAACAGAAGACTGGGAATGATTATGACGTCATTTCAGGACATTCTATTTCGCGGCAGGCAAATTACATGGTCATTTTCTTATTTGTGTGGCAGTGTTTGGAGAATGTTTCTTGAGTTTCCCTGACCTTTTTTGATCAGAAACAGCAGAAATCAATAAAAAGTCGCTTAAGCTCGAATTTAATTGACTGTGAAAAAGAATAATGAGTTTTGAAAGCGGTACGGAACAGTCTGACGTGGAATCGATCGGGTCGCGCACTCACATCTGCGAGACATCAGACGAAGATGAAGAAGATATGTACTATTCAGATCTAGAAGGACCGTATATAGATGAACCTATTGCAGACGAGGAATGGCTAAACAGAATACAACCGAGAACTAGAAGAAATTTAAAGGAGAAACCAGGAGTTACAAAACCGCTTTGACAGGATTGTCGAACCCGAGACTTGGTAAGTGTTCGCTCTATTTCACATCTTTTAATTATTAGCCTGAAAAATCTTATCGTACTAAGATCATACCTTGCCGATAAAAAGAAAGGATAAAAGTTGTATTCTTCAACTTAAATACTACGTTCCTTCTTTTTAATTTCAAAGGTGCTCATATGGCAATTGTGCTCTTGATCGGCTGCAAAATCCATAATCATGGCTGTGTTCTAAGACAAATTGAAGGGAGCCCAGTGCCCTGAACCTGTGAAATCAAGGATGCCTAGCATAATATTATAATCTCTAAGATTTTCTTGTCGCCGTAGAGCAGAAGTTATGTGCTAGGGGTCACCATGTGCTGTTAGAACACAGCCCTATCTGAGGCTGGCTGAGCCTTCTACCCTCTCAAGTCATAAAGAAAATCTTTTATTTTTTTGGACATCTAGGGATTTTTATTGTTATCAATATTACTGTTATAATCAAGAAAATGATAAATATAGCCATTAAAGCAACATATTACATCTTTTGTTGTAGAAATAGGAAGTGGGATAGCCCAGACTTAATTCAATTTTGATTTCTTTTTTTTTTGGCTTTTGTTTTGTTTTGTTTTGTTTTGTTTTTTGTTTTTTTTCTTTTTAATAATCCAATCTCAAGCAGCATTTGTAAATTGCCTATACGTAGCGAGATTTACAATTATACATTCAAAAAAACAAATAAAGTTCCCATTATTATTATTATTATTATTATTATTGTTATTGTTACATATTATATTATCATTTGATCAGCAATCAAGGTGGACTAAATATATTTTCCTATTTTCCTTGCAGTATCTGTTGTTTTTGCCCAAGAGGCAGCTGCAGCTACAGCACAGTCATCAAGTGGAGGAAGAACAAGGAATTGCACTGTTTGCAAAAGACCCATGAGAGGGCACAACCTTCTAGTTGATTGTCCAAGGAACCAGGCACGACAAAACAGTGGACAGTGATAGCAGACCTTTTTATTTTTTATTTTGAGGCAAAGTCAATAAGTTACCTGGTAACTGCTTAATACAAACTGGGAGAGATTTTCATCACCATTATTTCAAGTCACCCTCGCACTGTAGACCCAGGGGGGGGGGTACTCGGGATTTCAAGTGACGGGGATGATCGAAGGATTTTTTTGGGTTTGAAATTTTTAATTCCGGGATTTTTTTGGGTACGAAAATTTGGCTTGGGTAGCTTGATTTGAGTAGGGATTTTTTGGGGGTATTAAAAAGAATCGGTAGTGCCCTGGCTGCGTAGTTCTGCGAATAAAGTTCAAACAAACGTGTTTTGCTGTTGTTTAATAGTTAACTATGGTGTCGCTTTACATCGCACGTGTTATACAATAGTCTGCATTGTCCCGTGTGCCTGGCATGGGATTTTTTGGGGGTTAATTTTTGGTCCAGGGATATTTTGGGTTTTGCTGGAAGCCCTAGGGATTTTTTTGGGTCTTGACTTTTGGCTCCATTCGATCATCCCCGTCACTTGAATTCCCGAGTACCCCCCCTGGGACTGTAGATAACTAAGATACAGATAGTTTCTGTGCAATCAGCTGATGTCTTGAGTCAATATTAGTCCAAACTAGTATAAAATTTGTCAATGGACTCTGTTTTGCTATTTGCATTTTAAAATAATGATGGTCATAAAGGCAATATCTTTATTCATTATCTTCAAAACCAACAAATTCTTCATTCTCTTCTGAAAGTTCTGTTCTTATTGCTGGCAGTGGAATCCGCTTTCCCCCAAGAAAACCATGTACTAGTTGCGTAAACTCTCTGTAGGCTACTCCACCAAGAAACCTGTTTAAAAGAATGAAGACATAAAAATAAATATTCAAGTCATTACCTCGCCCTGTATTTCAACTCTGTGAGCCCAGTATTACCACATGACCAGTGGCAGATGCATTTCTATTCCAATCGTGCCCTTGCTTTGTGTCTCTAAAATCCCCATTTCTTTTAACATCTTATGAACTGAACATTATCAAATCAACTGTCGAATATAGTTGAAAATAGGACCAGGGTTGAAGAGTAGAGCAGAGTAAGAAAAGATGAAAGTAGTCAGCAAAAGATGAGATCAAAATGCTTTGTGTGGGGTTTGGTGTGGCTGGCAACCCCCCCTCCCCCCTCCCACACACACACCCAAGCCCAGAGAAAAGTTTGATTTTAGGGGTTCTGCAAAGTACATTTTGCTTTATTTTTTATCATATGTTTTTTGTAATATAGTGATTCTACTCAACCGATTAAACAGGTAGTAGAATGGAACACGCTATCATGCATTAATTCTATTGTCTTTCCTGGGTCAGGTAAAATCTCTCTATTATACAAAATAATGGGCAACAAAAACAATCGATTGATTATCTTTCTCTTAAAATGGTGTTTGAACAAATAACCACTTCTTCTGTTGCAACTGTCGGGCGCTTTTGCCGGCTAACGTTGCTTTTGGAGAACACAGTAAATTAGCAATTAGAGATAGCTCTGACAGAAAAAACTGGGCAAAACATTACTCACTTTTCTTCTGTATCAGTTTGACGATACTCTGTACCGTCTATCCTTTTGTATTTACTTGCGGCTGATCGGAGAGACCATCTGTTAAGGCAAACGACACTGAAACCTGGATGCAATGTAATACATTCGGGACTGATTTCCACCTCATTCAGAACGGCGGTACAGTACTACCAAGTGATTCGACACACTTTTCGATTTCCTTACAGCAGAGGCATTCCCCGGGATTTTGCAGCCGATCAAGAGCACAATTGCCACATGGGCACCTTTGAAATTAAAAAGAAGGAACGTAGTATTTAAGTTGAAGAATACAACTTTTATCCTTTTCTTTTTATCGGCAAGGTGTGATCTTAGTACGATAAGATTTTTCAGGCTAATAACTAAAAGGTGAGAAATAGACCGAACACCTACCAAGTCTCGGGTTCGACAATCCTGTCAAAGCGGTTTTGTAACTCCTGTTTTCTCCTTTAAATTTCTTCTAGTTCTCGGTTGTATTCTGTTTAGCCATTCCTCGTCTGTAATAGGTTCATCTATATACGGTCCTTCTGGATCTGGATAGTACATATCTTCTTCATCTTCGTCTGATCCTAGCTGTCTCGCAGATGTGAGTGCGCGACCCGATCGATTCCACGTCTGACTGTTCCGTATCGCTTTCAAAACTCATTATTCTTTTTCACAGTCCATTAAATTCGAGCTTAAGCGACTTTTTATTGATTTCTGCTGTTTCTGATCAAAAAAGGTCAGGGAAACTCAAGAAACATTCTCCAAACACTGCCACACAAATAAGAAAATGACCATGTAATTTGCCTGCCGCGAAATAGAATGTCCTGAAATGACGTCATAATCATTCCCAGTCTTCTGTTTTCGCTAGCGCGGTTTTGTAGCTCACCGGAAGTAAAATTTCACGTTTTTGGCAGGTTAAAACACGGGGAAGAAAAATCGCTATCGAAAAAATTTTTTTGCTTTCCTTATCAAAACACTGTATAGATTCTATCAAGCAAATAAAAAAATTTCTGTCATATACACTTTAAAATCTAGTGGATCATCCAGATCAACTGAGCTTGAGAACTTGGCAAAATACTGTAGCAAGGCTTGGCTCGGGTCTTGCCTGGATGGTGTCCCAGATGACCGACGACTTCGAAGCGAAGAATTCGACCGAGAAATGTTTCTTTCGTCTTCGACGACCAGAGCGTCCAAGTGATCGTCCGCAGAATCCAGGTCATGATCTTCAGCCTCGCTGTGCAAAATGGCGTACGATCCAGATATCTTACGGCTTCGCCGTTTCTCTCTTTGCAGCATTTTTTCGTAGCTTGTCATATTATCGTTTCTTCGCCTCGTGGCCGCGCTTGTTGCACGTGGTGACATGTCGTCTTTCACAACATTCGATAAGCCTTTGGATCCCGATTGTGAGTCAACCCGTCGATTCCTGTTAACTTCAACTTGACTTTCCTGAAGTTCAATATCATTACTTTTCTCTGGTGAAATTCTAACAGGAGGAACTAATGGAGGAAGTCGTCCATTGGGAATCTTTTCCGCCAAATCATCTTGATGTAACTTGCTGTCCGACGTTCGTAACGGCTTGGACTTCTTTTGGCCACCAGGTAGCTTGTCATTTTTTACGTTTCCATTAGAAGGAGCAACTTTATGATGAGCGCCGCGATGCTTTCCTCGCTTTACTTCCTCTTTTGCTGTTCTTTTCATGACAGCTTACGGTAAAGTGCTTTCATTCTTTGTAGAAAAGCGTACAACGATCTTGATTCTGTGTTGTTTACTATTCGGTCGTTAACGGATTATTAATCAGTGTTTTGTTTCTCAAGGGAATTCATTAACGACACGTACGTAGACAAACACGCATGCAAATTAGGTCAAATAAGGATTGAAAGTCTGAACCACTGATGTTACTTCATGCATGTCCCGAGCAGATCGTCTCAAGATAATTCTTAGAAGCAAAAAGTTAGGGGCCATTTAAACTGAAACAGGGCAGCACTGAAGAAACACAACGTGACTATAATATGTCACGCTTTGTTTACTAGGCAAGTCGAGTACAAATAGCCTGTTCCAGGCTCCGAGATAGTCGGATCCGCGGGGATTGAGAAAGCACGAACATGAAAATAGTACGGGAGGAGACTGCCCCCCCCTCCTCTTTTCGCGTACCTTTCGCTTTGCGCGTTCCCCACTTAATATCTGAGACCCTGGAACAGGCTACGTACAATACTGCTGGCGTTATTGTTAGCCGATACTAATGTTTGCAATAGTCACCGTGATTACTTTATTTCTTTTGTTTCATTTAGATTGTATTGCTGGTTTTCAGTGTCACGCCATTCAAAATAGATCAAAGTAAAAATCAAAACCGTTCAATAGATAAAGTCCAGCTAGGAACTGAAAGGAGGTACATATACAAAGACCCTCGCCAATATTCAGGATAGAGGAATATTTCGTATACGAGATATCCGAAGAAATGTGTTACCCAAACTTATAGAGATTTGTATGGAGACGCCATGTTGATGCTCACTTGGATGAGCTCCAACATGGCGGATAGCCTGCGAGCAAGCTCTCCTATTTGGGCAAGCGAAGCGAGCCTCGCGAGAACGCGCGAGCGAGGGGCCGAGGAAAGTAGAGCTCCCCGGAAACCCCGGGACTCCGCAAAGCGTCTGCCCCTCGCGGCTTCGCCGCGCGCTCGCGCGTTCTCGCGAGACCTCTTTCACTCGCCCAAACAGGAGAGCTTGCTCGCAGGCTACATGGCGGACGGAAACCAACAGAAACATCTTTTACCGAGTTTTACTACAAAAGCGTGAATTTATTCTTCGAGAAACTCATAAACATTTAAATAATACTTTTTCTAATGCATGAACTGTCTAGATAGCAAAATTTCCTGAAATAAGTGATTTTTTTAACCTACATGATAGCCTGCGTAGCAAGCGTTTCTGTACGGTTTAGGCGAAAAGAACGAGGAACGAGAGTCAAAGACCGCGAGAAAAGTGGCGCAAGTAAAAGAGCGGGGAGGGGGTGGGGAAGAAAGGAAGGAAACGCTTGCAGACAAACCCCGGGATTTTGAAAACCACCCACTTGGTCTGTCACGCCTGAGTTCGCGAAGCGACATTTGATGCTGTCATCAACTGTCATAATTGACCAATAAAATGTTTGGCCTTCCGTGGAGCGGAAATGAACTTTAGAGGACGCATTTGTGAAACCAAAATAAATTTTTTTTTTGTATTTTGGAGCGCGTGGACGGCGTTCATGGTGAAATCTCAATGAATCCGAACGATCAATGCAAGCTTTGTACATTTGTCTTCTTAATCCGTCTAAAAGGAAGGACCGCGAGGGTGAATGAAGTTTTAAAGTTTTAGCTCTAAACCTCCAGAAAGTTGGATTTGAAGTGGTAAAATGTGACAAGCATTCAAGTCTAGATCAGCTAGACAGAACGGCTTACCTTCCTTCCCCCCCCTTCCCCCCTCTTTCACTTTTTGGCTCTCGTTTCATTTTTCGCGCGGTCAAAACCGAAAGTCCCCTTCCTCGGTCTTTCTTTGCTCCGAAACCAAACGCAAACGCTTGCTACGCAGGCTACCTACATGACAGCTCTCTTGTACGTCATGTAAATGCCGCGTCACGCAAAAGCTTAAAAATTCAAGCGTACTCTATCACAAAACCAAGAACCCTTTTGAAGCGAAAATTTGTATGAAAATTAGTTTTCAGCTGCCCTAATGCATCGTGAAAGTAAAATCTCGGTAGGATCGATAGTTTTTTAGTTTGATTTTTAGTGACGTCATGTGAAAACCAACCTCGTTTTCCTCCGGACAAGCTTGCAGGTCTTTCTTTATAAAAGAGAGACAAGGGTACCGGTAGGGGCAATAACACGGAGACAGCAAGTGCTAATCAGCGTTAGGTGCACTAGGTATTTTACTCATATCCGAGTCTGGGACTAGGTAGCCTGCGAAAACAGCTGTTTCCCCTCGCTCCTCGCCGCTGGGGACGAGGAGAAACGGCTGTTTTCACAGGCTAAGGACTAGGCTCCTTTTCGGGTGTAAAAACTGCCAGTTGTGTGGTGAAACGCGCAAAAAGTTTACTGATTCTGGTCCCTCAGTGAATCACTGAATATATAGTATTCAATTTGTTATATACATACTGAGAAATACTCACAAAAAAGCTATGTCGAAAACCATAGGCTAATGAGCTCTAGCCAATCAAAAGAGCGAACGATGGTTTTCACTCGTGCAAAAAAAATGATACGTCCAATCAGAATCGCGAACGGTGGTTTTTCACGTCTGAGAAAAATGATACCTCCAATCAGAAGTCACAGAGGTGTATGAGTTTCCCGCCAAAATTCCCGCCTTTTTCAAGCGCTTGACCTTACAGCGCCCTCGTTTTGCGAGTGCTTCGCAGTCATTCAACTAGAAAAGTTTTTCTCGAAGAGTTCTTCTCGTAAAAAGGTGAAAAGCATCTCCGAAATCGGAGTGGAATAGTTTCGTGTATTTCTCTGTCCGGCGATGAAGATAATTGTAGAGGGCAGGCGAAAAAACAGCAGGATGGGAAACAGAACGAGACGTAAAAGACGTACTTTGTCTTCTACTGAACAATTATCCCACGAGTGCGCGTTGCGATATGAGTTGGCTATAATCATCTCATATACCACGATGGCTAAAGCCAATCAGAGCTCTAGAATTGCGTTCTCAATGATTCAGTTTTTAATAATTATTTGTACTCAAATAGGTCGTTTTCGCTTAAATACATTCATTTTCAATTGTGCATTCAGAACAGAAACTTAACATTACTTGTAATTCCTGGACTACCTCATTTCCTTACCCTCATTAATATTATTAACAAACGTTTTACTAACAAGCTGATGCTTCGTTTTGTTTGTCATTTCGCGGTGTGTAGCGGCAAATTTTAGCATTTTGGAAAGATTTGAAATAACAAAGCTACCAAAATCATGATGAATGTCTCAACGTCAACAATTCGTGCGTAGATACCGTACGCCCTCACTTTCCATGAAGTATTCTACATTTATCTTTCCCTTTTAACTGACATTTATTCCATTTCCCACTTGCCATATATTATATTGGATCGATTGGAGAAATAAATATACACACGAAACGGAGCGAGGAAATAGCATCACGAAACCACGCGGAAAGAAGGAAAAATTTCGTCAGGGTGTAGTTGGTTGATGTGGCCTTAAAATTCAACGGTAAAACTTGAACTCTCTGGTGTTGTCTTTGTTTTGTTGCTTTTGTGTTTTTGGTGGTCTTATTCAACTGAAAGCCTGAGTCAGCTGCTCTCTTTTTTCATAATTGTACATGAGATTTTCCGCGCTGCAGCTGCATGGCAACTTGTGAGGGTTTAGCTGTCACTCAGTGGCCAATAGTTGTCAATAGTTTAATTATTAAGAACTCAGTTAAAAAAAGTAAGAATTGTCCAGAACAAAAAAAAGACAGTGATGAAGGAGAGTGCCAAAAACTTGCAGCTGCTACTTCTTCCGTAAAAAGCGTTGCTATGGAAAAGAAATATTGATATCCGCCCATTTCTAATCGAGGTAGCGCTTCTATTCTTCATCAAAAAGGAGCTGGACACGGGTTTATCTAAGCTGCTCAGTTTCAATATCGAAAATAAAAAAAAATGGCAAATGTGTCTTTAAACACATACAGTTTCTACGACTCCGCCTCATCATTTAACGTGATACTGGCTATTTTGTACTCGCTGATCGTCGTTATAGGTCTTGTAGGGAACTGTTTTGTCATAACCATCGTCGGAAAAACAAGATCAATGATTACTCCTACAAACATCCTACTGGTCAATGTTGCCTTCACAGATATCATCTCGTTAATCTGGTGTCCCATACCTTTGGCTATTAACTTGTCTGGTAAGCACGTTTCAGGAAGAGCGGCCGACCTCATCTGCAAGTTTTTCACAGGTTACGCTGCCACTTGTGTGACTGTTTCAGTTACCTATCAAAGTTTGGTGGTGTTAGCGTTGGAGCGTTATTATGCAATTGTTAAACCCTTTAAACAACCTCTAGTTGCCTCAAACAAGTCCATGTACTATGTCGTTGGTACAATTTGGGTGATGGCAATCATGTTTTCGCTTCCCGGGTTCATTTTTAGCGAATATGACGAACAAAGCAGACGATGTCTTGATCCGTGGTTTCTTGAGAAGGCATGTAAAATGAAATGGCTTTCCGTCTTAGCCACTGTTTCGTCAGCATTTTTTTCTGGTTGCGTATTCTTTTGCTATTTTCAAATTTTAAAAGGATTATTTATCAACAGAACGGTTTGTTCAGCCGAAACAGCCTCTTCTCTGCACGCCGCCATGAACGAAAAACGAAAACTGGCCATAACCTCTTTGACTGTTACGCTGACTTATTATCTCTGTTACGTCCCCTTTTTAACGTTTGAGATATACATATCTTTTCAGTCCTATGCGGCTATTTTAGAAAACTACGAAGTATTGTATAAAGCTTATAGAATTGTAGGATTTATCATGTATGTTAACTCGTGCTTGAATCCGTTTTTCTATGGTTTTCAGAGCTCGAGTTATAGACGACACTTCAAGAGAATATTTCTTAAAATACAACCGATAGAAGAAATTAGTATGTTTTCCAGATAAACAATTTCGTTATACACGAGGTGATCGATCTTTTTAATTTATGGTTTCCATGTTTTTTTGTATTTCCTTCCAATTTTCCTTTTCATGTTGATATCCTGCCTGTACTAGGTTACTCATCTGATGCGGCCATTTCGTTGGATAGAAAACTTAGTATTTAAAAAGTCAATGAAGCAGTTGAATGTAGTGATGGTAGTTGTACAATGAAAGAACACTGAAATGGAAATAATTAGTGAATTCGAAGAAAGGTTATCGAAGCTATGTTTATCTTATGACCAACATATAATAACCAAAGACATAATGCCTAATTTTATATTCAGCCCACGTTCTCGCACGAGGGAGACGGCTCACTAATAATCAGCTTTTATGCTGAACGCCGGATCGAGCTCTTTAAGGAAATAAAGCATTAGTCGCATTAAAGACGGAAGATGCATCGTATATTTATCACGATTATTATCTTAGTTATAGAGACATCCTCTATATTGATGTTTGAAACCAGATTTTTGAACAAATGAGGATTAAGAACAAAGACGACGTTACTCAGTTTTTGCCAATTTTAGCCGCATTCTCTTCGATTCATTAAGTGAATGATTTTCACATTTCTCGCAGGTGAAGCTTTGAAAAAGCATTAGATGCATTATCTTACACTTAATAAGAATTATGGTAGTGCCTCTCTACAACAACCGCGTCGGGCTTTGATAGTAAATGGTAAAATCAAGTCAAGTCAAGTCTCTCTAGTAGTTACTACATTAAAGCCTTGAAATGTAAATTTGTAGGATAAAATATTAAGGAACTTCATATCTAGACTTCTTCTCGAGCGAGTCTCCGATCTTATCACCTTTTTTGAAACAACGAATTGGAAAAACAATTTATTATTTAAGGTACGCAGTGCTTGTAGTTTACCGCCTACCAGCTGTTTTTTTTTTTTTTTGCTGTTTCTGTTTCTGTTTATTAGTTGCTTCGCCCTGGGATAGCTTAGTTTCGCCTAATTTAAGTCTCCAACTACTTTCGCACAATGTCGTAACACCAGGGTAGTAAAATGCGTGGGAACAATTTAATATTGAAGAATAAACAGTCAGTTTGACCAACGAGTTTCGCAAGAATTTCTTTCCTCCAAAATAGAGAGGACAAGGACAGGACAAGGACAAGTACCTGTGGAGAGATGATTTAAAAGGAGGCTATGTCACCTCGAAGTTTTTCAAAACTCAAACAGTAGTAACTGTCACCAAACTGAGTGAAACGGAAAAATATCGCTCAAAACAGTAAACGAAGGTATAAATAATTAACAAGATAAAATACGGCAAATAGGGAAAGCTGAAGGGGATTAAAGCGGATCGCAATTGTGTGTATTGAAAACTTGTTAACATTACAGTTTTTCAAAGTTAATTTATCGTTGTAACGTTTGATATAACGTTAAGAAGGCATATTTGATGGACAAGCAGCAGCTGTAATTTTGTCATTGACAAGTAATTTCTTTGCTAGCGTTAACTTTCATAGCCGGCGCACAACTCATGCTCTATGAAAGTTAACGCTAACAAAGAAATATTAGCAATAATAAAACTTTAAGATCCAACGACGCGACGGCAAAGAGAACGTCGCTAAAATAATCTAAAAAGTGAATTTGCATTCTCTCAGTCTCGATCGCAATTATCCTTATACCCACTTACTTTGTCAACCATATCCAAGTTTAGAAAGAGAAATAAAATTTCGTCTTTGCTTGTTTAGGTTCTTCATAACACGCGGAAAAAGGAATTTTCATTCGTGCAAATACGGCAAAGAAATCGTTCAAAAAAGTGCATGTGATGCTCGTGCGAAGTTGTTGTTTTTGGTTAGTCAACCTACTCTTTTCAGACGTTCTCGTTGCCGTCGCGTCGTTTGACCTTAGGGTCCCTATTGACAAAATGAATTAGACGGCCATGGTACAGACCGTGTAATGAGGAAAAACCTTTTTCTGTGCGTATTTTATTTTCGACACTAATTTGGAAAGGCGATTGACAAAACTAGTTTCGTTCAGCTGAATATCAACCGATGAGTTCTGAGACAAAATAAATTTTGTAAATCGTGCATATGCTAGTTTAGTGTGTCGAAAATACATCAGGAGTGCAGAATAACTTTCTTGTTTTCCGTCGATAACCAAATCTCTCAGAAAAAAGATTTAAAGCTAAAAATGACCATCCCGTCAAACTTTTGGAAGTCCACGCGAAAGAAACTGGCCAGTTTGATCATAAATTTTGCATTAGCTTTAAAACCAGCGTTTATTGTCAGTCCTTTCGACATGACAGGACATTTGAACTGCCTCATAATCTCGTGTGTGGGATTTTTCGCCATAATTCACGGTCGACCCAAAGGTTGGTTCACTTGTTTTACAATGTTTTCAGAGTGCTAAGTTTCGTAAGTAGTTTTAATCCAGATATCTAATGATCATTCACCACGCATCCTATACGGCGAGCGATGGCATAATCTTGGTGGCACCCCGCTTGATGATTGCCCGAATTTTAAAGGGATCACCTCATTAAATACTAAAATGAAATGTATACAGGCATCATCAAAGTAAACCTTTTCACAAGGGTTCATGTAAACATGAATTTTATAAAGAAATCGGAGTTTGATTGCCATTGGGTAAAAAACGTAAATAATTCTTTACATTATTTTAAAAATGCATATATTGAACGCCTTAAGGGCCAGGGAAATCGAGCTCTTAATCCTTTACTGATTTCAGCGGTGATACATTATACTTCAGATCAACAGATTTTTCGCTAAGATTTCCCCAATTGCCTATAATCCGGTAGATTAATCGTTGCTCGTGTTGGTAAGTGGGCGTGGCCAGGGCTCCCGCCCCTGTTCGAGTAGTGAACTACATGTATGAGAAACAAGAATGTCACACACAATGTCTTGGAAACGAAAAGTTGCATTCATCTTCGCTTACATACGAATATATACTTTGATTGTCCTTAAGTGGCTCAAACGTTACTTTTACTCGGACATGAGAATCGTCCGATTTGACACGATCTATCAAGCATGTCTTCTGTCAGTACGAAAGGAACAGGTGGTGAAAGTCTATTCATTTAAAGCACGTCAGGATTCAGTGTTGCTATGAGAGCATCTCTTGGAAAAAACACATCCCTTTGTCCCATAAATCCAAACAGAGTGGAGTAAAAGAAGTGTTGGCCACTTTTTTAGGCTAAGTTTACACGGCACCGGACGAATTTTCGATATGTGGAAAATTCGTACGTTTAGGTATTGCGTTCACACGGAACCACGTTAACCTTACGAAAACCGTAGACGTTTAGCCGTTTAAATTACCATGCGAAGAGATCGAAAATATCGAACGGTTCCATGTGGACGAAGTGACCGGTCATATTTTCAACCGGTCGAAAACTCATCCGGTGCGGTGTGAACGGCGGGTTACGCGGTGACTGTGATTCAACGAAAATTTTGTCTGGGCTAGAGCAATTGGTTGCTAAATACAGATTGGCCGAACAAAAAGGCCGTTAAATAGAAATTCGAAAGCTCCAACAGAATAGGGCTTCCGGCTTCGCTGATCGACAACCACATTTTTGTTTTGAAAAGAGAGTTACTTAATTATAGGGATTTCTGTTCCCTTATCATTATTGTTTTCTCTGTGTTTTTTTTTTTGCTTTCTTTCAACCAAATGAAAATAAATATTGACTTATTTCCTTACTTACTTAGGCTCTTAGCCTCAGATGGATTATAGACCATTGAAAAACTTATCTCTTCATCTTCTCTGTTTTGGTTCATCACCACAAGATTGGTCGAGTTTGTGTTCCTAACTTCTTCTCGTATGCCTCTTCTTTAGGTGTTTTTAGGGCGTCCTTTCAGTTTTTCATTCTCCTGGTATCCTACCTCGTGATGTTTTTTGCACGTGTCCTTAGTCATGGACCTAAGAAAACACTAGCCTGCGTAACAAGCGTTTCGGAGCAAAGAAAGACCAACGGGATTTTCGGGTTTTGGCCGCGCGAGAAATGGAACTCGTTTCCATGTAGTACTAAATGTGAATACTTACTTTGGACGGGAATGAAATCGGATCCGGTTTTAATTGTTTACAATTTTTGTCGTCTGCGACTGCATTTGGAAACTGACTTTGTTATTGTTTTGATAGAAACTTATGATGTGCCAACACTTTATGAAGGAGATATGGCTTTAACTGACGAACAAGTCCTTGCACTGGAAAAAAACAAGATACGCTCACCCAACTCCTCCCAGGACCAGGAAGCGTACACAAGAGGGGCCATTGGAAACGCTGCATACCTCTGGCCAAACGGCATTATACCGTTTGTGATAAGTGAAAATATAGGTAACACATATATTCAGAGAAGCTTTTATGCAAAAAAAAAATGCCTGTTGAAAACAAATGATCCATGACACTTATTAGCGAAGAGACTTGTTAGGTTGCGGTTTTTATAAGGACTCGAGATCGCCAGACTATTTGGTGCAACCCTGTACCCGTTTTAGGCCCCAGTGGTTAGTCATGTACCCAATTGAGGAGCAAAAGGGATAAAAATAAACGGTCATACCCACTGGTACCACATGTACCTATATGGCATATATAAGAATTATCCCAACTTCTTTTTCTTAAAACCCGTAAGTACATTTAAAAATAAGATATTTTAAGCAAGGATAAACATACGCAGTACTGTGTAGTTGTCGTTCAGTAAAGCAAATCTCTATCATGGATCGCACACAGAGCAAGTTTAGTGAATTTCAGTTCAACAGTGGGATTGTCACTGTTCTTGTTCCTTATTTGCTTTATTTTTGCATAGATGCTGACGGACGGCAACTGATAAGAAACTCTATGAAGGACTGGGAAAAACATGTGTGTGTCAAATTTAAGGCGAGAGACAAAGAAAAGGGATACATACAGTTCGTTTATAAGCGAGGGTAGGTGCATAAGTAATCGATGCTGATTCATGTTTTAGTCGGGAATTAAGTCAAAAGTATCGAAAACCATCTAAACTCAAGGACTCTTAAATACCCAACTGTTTTGGTTCCAACGATCTTTAAACGCCGGGAAAGATTGTTCAATGGCAGGGAGTCCCGACGACCTTTTAACAAAACCTTTGATAAGTACTGTGAACTTTTGTCAAGATTAGACGATCAAATTATATGAAAATGATACAAAAGTGCTTTTTAGTTGTTGTTTTTTTTAATATCGAAACTTCGATCTGGTTAGTTCAATTTCTTGGTTAACAGGCTTCGGAGTGCCCGGTAGGTGTCGGCTCGATTCTCGGCCTGGCCAACACGCAGTGTCTTAAAATAACTTCAAGGAGAATGTGTTACCTCTCCCCTGACATCTGCCGATGGTCAGATGTTTTGATATTTTCGGCTAACGAAGGGAAACCTGTTTTGATGACATATTCACTGATTTGATTATGTGTGAAGTAAAAGAACTACCAGAGACCTATCAACCTCTGACCACCCTTGTAGTGTGTATCTTTTATAGCTTGTGTAGTTTGATATGGAGGAACGAACGGGACCCACAAAAATATGCCAGGGGTATCCTCCCAACATTGGTAGGTCTGCCAGTGTCCAGTAAAGTTCAAGAGGAGAACAAATCAGTGACTCTTTTTTTGTGTGAAGGTGTTGGTCGTATGTGGGATATGGCGGCAGGCGACAAGAATTGTCTATAGGACGCTTTACTCGGTGAGTTATGCTGAGAAGTTAGAGGGGCGGATCCAGAAAGTTTAGAAAGAAGTGACCGGGAAACCTGCCAGCTATATAGATACTTTTTACCTTACTGAGAATTCTTTAGAAATAATAAATAAAAAAAATCTCATAAATAGGGGAGCCCCGGTCCCTTCGGCCCCAACCCTAAATCCGCCCGCGGGAACAGACAAGTAAATACGTAGAAAAGAGGAATGAGAAAGGTAGGTTTTAGTTACGTTCTAAGGTTAACGCTACGGAGCTTAAGCAGAGATCAAGAACACGGCAACGAGAACGGCAAAAAAGCAATAGGTAAGCAATACATCAACTTGGCACGGGCATCACCCTTTTTGTGCGTATACATTTCTCTGCTGGGTGGTATTATAAAAATTAATTATATCGTATATAACTGTATGCATAGTTGTGTCTAAATACTTCACTATTCCTACAAAAGAGTACAAAAATAGACCAAACTAACAAAGTAAATTCTAAGTGACATGGTTGTTTATTTCTTGAAGGGATCCTCCTTGTGAACAAGGAGCCATAACTCATGAGCTTGGCCACGCCCTCGGGTTCTATCACGAGCACACACGACCTGACAGAGACAAGTACGTTAAAATTCTCTGGGAAAATATACGGCCAGGTGCGTGTAATTGTATATTATTCTCCCTCTTTTTTCTCTCTTAATTAGTTTGATAAAAACCAAATCGAATGAATGTCACTATAATTATGTTAAACGCACAATTACTCTTTCGCTCGATTGTTGAGACTACTTATATTATCTGAAGAAGCTGACAACGTTGTAGAACTGGAGCTGTTGGGAGCCATGTTTAATTTTTGCTAATTTGTAACCAGGCGTGGTCGTAAAATTTGGTATCCCGGCTGCTGATTCATATAGAAATCCTCTGGTTTGCAATTTTTTTTTCCAAAGAAAAAGAGACAAAGAAACTAGTTTGGTACCTTGGCGGCGACTGTGAGAAGGTTTTTTCACAGAAAGAGTCAGTGCCAATGAATCCCTAACCACAACTAATGGCGGCTATCAAACAACGTTTATAGAAATTTTAATTCAACTTTTCAATTGCTACTGTTTATCATCTGGTGCAAAATACTTCTGAAAAGAGATTATAATGACGGAATCCACCAGGAATTTGAGTAATTTTAATTGTCAGTGGACAAAAATCTTGTACCAGAATAATTTAAAGCATATTGCATTCTTTTTTAGATTTTTTAACTGCTGAAGATGTAATTAGTCATCTGTAATAACACCAAAGAAAATTTGTTTTGGGAGCCCGAGAAAAGGAATGTCAAATTTTACAAAATTACATCTCACACTTGAAGTTTTCGGACTTTTACCTATTTTTTTCACAATTCTTGTGAAATTTGACATTCATTTTCTCTGACTCCCATGAGAAATTTTCATTGGTGTTATTACAGATGACTAATTTCATCTTTAGCCCTTGAAAAATGTAAAAAAAGTGCATTATTCTTTAAATTATCCTGGTACAAGGTTTTTGTCCGCTGAAAATTAAAATTACTCAATTTCTGGTGAATTCTGTAAATACTCTTACTTTGGCAACGTAGATGCAAATTGAAGAAAATCTTCCATTATATACGCTAATTCGCTTAAAAAAAGAAATTAATCTAACTAAATTAAACCCACGATCTCTTTAATTTAAGGTAAAGAGGTACGGAACAATTTCGAAAAACAGCCAGACGGCGTGATTGACAGTCGAGGAGTAGAATACGACTTTGGGTCACTCATGCACTACTCAAAATTTCAGGGAAATAACCGGCCTGGAGTCGAGACAATCGTGCCCAAGGACCCATCAGTGGATACTGGACAGCGAAAAGGCCCAAGTAAACTGGACGTTAAACAAGCCCGACTTATGTACAAATGTGGTGAGTAAAAGTGGTTAGTAAAAAATTGTAATAGAGATCATCAGGGTTGAACGACAGAGGTCTAAGAGAGCTATGGCACCTGGATTTATTTGAATCACTCTTCATAATATTATATTCTCCTTCGACTTAACCCTTTTCCTTGTTTAGATGCAGCTGCCCAAGCTAACAAACCTAAGCCACCGGGATCTACAGGTAGGGAATAATGTCGCACTAGTATTTGCATGAATTTTGTTTTTCAGCGAGGTTTTCACTGGCTTCGCCGTTGTCGTATACTAGGGAGCTTAAGCAAAGACGTTTTTGAGCGACCCACGTCAACCGGAAGTGACGCCTTCTTTCTTTTTATATGCGTTAACGCTAAAAAATTTGTATTGGTAAGTTTCTTTTCTCCTATAAAGACGTTTTACCCGAGAGTTTCAACCAAACCACTCCTCAGTGATGAAAAAGTCCACTTCCGGTTGACGTCCGTCGCTCGAAAACGCTGCTGCTTATAAGCTCCCGAAGGAGAACGTTTTACATTCAGAAATGTTTACATATGTCGCTTTTCTATCTGGCTATATTTCTATATACGTAAGAAACTGCGTTCCCTGCTCTGTACTCTTTACCTTCAATTACAACAGGAGCGACTAATCCAAGTACTGTGTCAAGGCCCCCGACTCCGTCCTCAGGGCCCAGTGTTCCCAGACCTCCAGGTACGTAGTCACCCGTTTCGTTTCTCAGCTGAACAAAACGATCTATTCCCTTGAAAATTTTCGAAAACAGCAGTCCTTTTTTCAAGCTTGTTTTAATTTGTAGAAGGGTATGACTTATAATGCCCGGGAATCGTCTGCATTTTTTCTCTGCCAATATCCAGTCAACTAAACTAGTTTCTCTCGTAATCTGAATTTTATAGCTGTTAGATGACAATTCTTTGCAAATGCTGTCCTAACCTCTTGTTTACAAAATGACCGAATACGTTGATTAGAACTCTTTTCTTTTTCTTTTTAATAAAAAGCTGGCGGCTACTCTGGCAAGGGCTGCAGACTCCTCAAAGTAACCAAAATAAACACACACATTCATAAAGTGGAAAAAAGTAAGTAAAAACGAATATATACAGAAGTTTACATAAAGCGATTTTCGTTTGACCTTGAAATGGTTACGCACGAATAAAACTAAAGCAACAACAAGAATATAAGAATTTGGCAGGTTTATCAAACAGTCACAAACTTGCGCGGCTTTTTGTGTGTGTTAGTTCAGCGAACATGAATACGCTTGGCTCGTACGCGAAGCGGAGCTTCCATTTTCCCGGGAAAAAATGCTCTAAACGGTATATCTAAAAATAAACCGGTCAGGTCGTGGTACTAGTCTAAGAGCCTGTTTACATGGAGGTGGGGGACCTCAGGTAGGTGAGGAAACATGTGGCGTGTCACCCCACCTATCATATAAACGTGATCAAATTAAAATGAGAGATTATATGGACAGGTGGGTTACCCCACCTACGCGGGTTGCCTCACTTACGTGGGGTCTCCCACCTCCATGTCAACAGGTCCTAAATATGCCATAACCTCTCCCCACTACGTGGAGGCCAAAGCACACTCCATGAACAGTAGGCCCAAGGATAAGAATAATAGGAATAAACTCTACAAATCACTCGTTTTGGCGTTCATTGCTTTGCAATGGCTAGATGTTGATTTGAAATAAAATATTCCGATTTAAGTAGCGTTTTCAAAAATGGCCCAAAAATGATTTGCAACAAAACGTTCGCGCATTCTTCTTCCGGAATACCATCAATCGAACGCATACTTTATTTTGCCTCCGCCGTTTGTTTACACACTTACAAGGCTGGTTTTTACTTCTAGCAACGGAGTTGGAGTCGGAGTCCTAAGAGCGCTTATTATTCAGTGAAAATTAAACATCGGAGTCGTAAGCAGAGTCATAAGCGTGACGGAATCTGAGTCGGAAGAATCAGAACGCTTCCATTTTTTTCCGACTCCGCTTATGGCTCCGTAGCTTACGATCTAGCCAAAACCATGAAGACTGTCGGACACAATGCACGTTCCTACGCTCTGTGATTGGTTTAGTTCCTCCGCTTCTGCTTGCGACTCCGACAACCAAGTTTTCACTTGATCGTAAACGGCGGAGTCCTAGGCGGAATCAGAACGCTATTTCACTAGATCGTAAAGTTCTACGCTTCTGATTACGACTCCGACTCCGTCGCTAGTGAAAACCAGCCTTAAGGGTGATAGATAATTGTTGAGCTGTATCTGTTGTTTAGTCTGCAGGGGACGGCGTCCCAACGAAAACACAGAAAACAAGACAAATAGTCAGGTTGGTTTATAGCGAGTATTCCTTTCAGGAAAGAAAAGATGCATACATCCTAATGTCAGACGTAAGTGCTAACGTCTGGCTATAAAGTAATTAAAAGAGTTTGACTGAGCTGAACGTCTGAAGCTTCTGGATTGACGAAACTGGCCCCTGGTCCTTGTCTTGCTGTTGTCGTTTCTAGAAGAAGTAAAATTTAAACTTCTTTATACATGTTCCGGGTCAAAATGACGTTTTGTAACTTTTGCATGCTTTCTTTCCAAGGTCAGACGACGTGAATGGAAGTTTAACAGTTAAGCAGTATGAATGCTGACGAAGTAACAAGGAGTTCAAAAGAAGCCATGGAAAGAATGCTTTGAAACTCATAAAAGCTGAAATTATTTAGACTACGAGTAGTCCGTCATCTTCCCTCAGTTATAGTAGACCGAGTAAAACTTGAGCGCACCTGAAAATCACGCCACGCGAGAAAGGCGAGACGCGGCGGGAAGAGAGAAAAATGAGGTTTCTCTCTCGCCGCCGCGTCTCGCCTTTCTCGCGTGGAGTGATTTTCACGCGCGCTCGCGTTTTGTTCGCTCTACTATCCCTCATAGGGAAAATGAGGGACTACTCGTAGTCTAAAAATTATATTTATAATTCATCTTAGAAGGACGTATAATTAAATTACATCCCTCTAACCTCTTCAGTAATCCATTGCAAGACTTTCTACTGTTCTCTGGATGAAGAACTCTGTTGGGTTTCCTGTCAATTGCTTGGTACACTTCAGACGAAATACTGAACTATTGCTTAAGCGTATATAAGTCCTATATATTTTGATTTTGTGAGGACAAGTTACTGACACAGTAATAAGAATTTCGACCTACTCCCATTGACGTCTCCCATTTATAATGTTTGTGTCAGTTCTATTTCATGGTATCTTAAGGTGCTTTCCATTTGTCAGAACTGACCGGCCAGGCCATTCCCGTCGTAACGAGAATTTCACTCTTTATCAAAACTATCCTGCCAAAGAGGTCAAATCCTGAATACCGCAAAATTCCGAAAATAAGCCCCTCCATGTATAAGCCCCTCCAAATATAAGCCCCCAAACCGGTAACACAAGAAACTCTCCGTTAAATCGCCCCTCCAAATATAAGCCCCCCCCCCCTCCCCGGGGCTTGTACTTGGAAAATTGCCCTCAAATACAAAGTAAAACAAAGCAAAAACGGTAAATTTACTTCCAACTATAAGGCTAGCCCAGTCGATTTTGAAACGCAAGTTTCCCTCCGTAGATAAGCCCCTCCGAATATAAGCCTCTCCAAAAATAAGCCCCTCAAAAAGGGCCTTTGAAAAATATAAGCCCCGTGCCTTATTTTCGGAATTTTATGGTAGCATGAACGAAGGCAATTGTTTTTCAGCAAAAGCTCTTGGAAAAAGCCCGCTATTTCATTTCTAAATGACTGGTCCGTCCATGGCCCGCCCGGCCAGATCTGACTTTTGGAAACCGCCCCTAGAATTATTTAAGTTACTTTTAGAGTGATTGTTCACTCACCGAATAGGGAAAAGAACTAAGACTATGTTAGCACCGTACCGGATTGCTTTTCGCGCTGAAACGAGAGCTATGTGGCTTAGAGATCCGCGCGGCGCTGCTTCGCTCCGTTACAGAAATCGCGCCAAAATCATGATCACCGTAACGGTTGTTCCGTTCTTATGTGTGAGCACAAGCGCTATCCGGTATGGTTTTTGTGCCGGCGTAAACGGTATTGGGGTATAGTGTGACAGAGCATAGCCCAACAATGCAAAGGCTGAAAGCACCGGTTGCACCAATCATGCAACGTCACCGTTAATGACAATTATTGCATGAGGCTGATTATGAATCATCGCGCAGAATGAGTGGACTTCATTAATTATTCATGACCGCCGAAGCGGCAAATTCGAATGCACGAGCGCTTTGAATAAGCTCCATATAAGAGAATAATGGGCCATTTTTGGTCCACCAGCGTTGATAGAACTCTTTGGCGCGACTTCGTTAGCCCCAAAATTACAGAACCACGGAAGGAATATCAAAAATGATTGATTTATCTACGGGTTAAGCACCAAATATATAAATTTTACGTAGCAGAAGGACTATCCCTCTGCGGCACTTGAAAATTAGTCAAAAATTGCTAAAAAGATGCTATTTGTTGTATGGAAGCCGACTTTGGGCGCGACTTTCTGGAAACCAGTAACAAAATCCTCAAAACCACGGACAGAAAATGTAAGATTGCCCTTTCCTTAATCAGAATACGTTTTAACTTTTTAAATTTATGGACAAGATCCACTATCCCTGCGAGTTTGAAAAAGTCTGGTAGAAACGCAGCGTACCCGAGGCCAGCAAGCTATTGTTTTAAGTACCGGTATGAATAACAATGGCTGTCAAATATAACAATACGCCACTGAAAACCACTCACTTGTGAAGTATGTCATTAGCTGGTGCCGCGAACTTTAAAATATATTTGACAATCACTAGAGTTTATTAACACAATCTGCCACGCGTATACGCTTGATCAGTACAAAGAATAGAACGAGTAAAAGTGGATGTGATGGCCAGCATGTACTTTCCAGTGCAGGTATGCTTAAATTAAAGATATTATTATTGTTGTAAAATGGTCCAGAGAAGCCGCGAACTCTTAAACTGATCGCGTTGCGTCGGCTGGTTCATTGCATATGCCAACCAAATCTTGCAATGAACATGGAA